GAATATGACAAAACATATAAGTGCAGGCCCACAAAACTATATGAAGTAATTCAATTGTAACCATATTAAACTGCAAAAAAGTAAATCAATAGACTGGATGATTATCACTTTTTATATCCAGTACAACGAGTTCAAATAGACAGTGTATGTTGTCTCCATGTTAAAAAGATAATGATTTGAATTGTAAGAATGTAGTTTATATTAGGAGAAAGTGCATTCTTAAGATGATTTTAAACAAGGATAAAGAAAAATACCATTGGGGTCGGAATGGCATTGCTTAGTGTGCAGACTGAGGGTCTCTGACCTCACATTTCAACCTGCCTTAGTAAACCTACAGAAAACGCTCTCTGTACCCAACAGCAAATGGCACATCACGTTGGGACCAGCTGGGTTGAGCATTTAAAGAGAAACACTGACATAGTTTTCTTGGGGATACATTATCCGATATTGAGATTCCGAAATTCCATCAAACCGTATAGCTTTCAGTGGCTTTCACTGGCTGTTAGCGTGCACCGCTACCGCAGAGCAATTTACTGGTGGCCAGAAACACTGTTCCTCCACTAACGTTTCCTTCTGTGTCTGTTTGATATGTAAACAGCTTATTGTCTGCTAGCACATATGCTGCAGTACAAGAGCCTTGGTGATGTGTGTCGACTGCATATCTGCTTGTTTTGATGTTTTTCTAATCCCAAGAGGCACAAAACTGCCAAATAGAGTTTTAGCGGCGTTGCCAAAATAACAAGAGAAGAATTGTGTGTAAAATATGAAATGTTGCTGGCATCAGAAAAAATACCTAAAAAACAGCATATAGTCTGTCTCACAAAAAAGTTGAATACTTTCAGCTGAGCGGAGCTGAGAAAAAGCTAAATCATTCCCTGAATAAATACATTTTTCAATTAAAGAAACAAATTAGTAATAAATAGCTCTTCATGAAAGATCGAACTTGACTGTTCCATAAAGACTTCCTGCAGAACCAGAGAAGAGCCTGGAAGCGACAGCGAGTTTGAACCTTCACCAACATCAAGGAAGCATAAAAAATAGCCTTGTGCTAAAATTATCTCATCCAAGGACTATTTGTGGAATGAAAGGAGAGAAGGATGCATAAATTTCCATTTTTATCAGATCTTTTAAATCTCTCTCAAATGCTGGATGGAATTAAATAGATATTTTGATTACATTATCATGTCATTTATTATTCGCTTACTTTGTTTCTACTTGTTTTCCAGCTACAGATATGTCAGGCCTTCAGAGGGAAAGTTGACCTTTCCACTTGTGCCAAGAGAAGGTTGGCTTTATTTTTGTTAGTAAGATTGCAGATTTTTCCTGTTGGTCTGATGTTGGGGTTAAGACAAAGAATGTTTCCGTGTAATGGTCTTGCTAACTTAATTGAACAAGGTGACAAGAGGACAAAGTGTGAGCGGCCGTGAATGCACATCAGTCGCACTGACCCTCGCTGAGTGTTCCCAGTCTTCATTTCCATAAAAACTTTGAGGAGCACAGTGAAAGAGAAACAGGTTTCACTCCAAATGCTCTACATTCTGTCCTGCATTGGAAGCTGTGAAAGTGGGGCAAAGAACGTAACATATGTAATGTAATGCACAATGACTCGTTTATTCTCAGTATTGTCTGCCGGCGGTAACATCCTGAGCTTGATGTTTAAATGTTGTACAGTTCCCTCATAAGAATGCGCTCCAGTATATCAGCCGGATGTGACAGTGGGGAGAAGTATGTACTCATTAGATACCCAGGGGGCAGGAATCTCAGCGAGGGCCTGTCCGAATCCATTCCAACATCAATGCCAGAGGCTGAGCTGCTGCCTTGATTACACCAATTTACCCCTCCGCCCACCCAAAAGGAAGACGTGTAATTACCCTATTTACCCCGGAGTGCTTTCTTCTCTGAAAAGTCAAAGTAAACACTCACTTTACATTTATTTTTCTTTTCTGCCGTTCATTTTGTCTCTGTGACACTGTGTGACATCTCTCAGAATGTTTATGGACCGTATCAAAGGCTTTAATGTGGGCTGAGTAACATAATCTAACGGAAGGGTAGTGATCAGTGTAACTTCCTCAATCAGATTACAGATTGTTACAGCAAAATGTTTTGAAGATGCCTTGTTCTCGTTCATAACCTGAAGTATTTAGATTTGTTTAACTATTGATAGAAGTTTAGAAGTCAGACATTTATCATTGCCTCTGACGAGGAGGTTGTCTTTTGGGTTGAGTAGTTAAAGTGTAATTGATTGCATATTCTCGCTCTCTTTATGACTCAATAATTCAGTGTGTCTTTATATAGAAGGAACACTCTTCAAAGGTATAACACAGTGCCTGAGAGCTGCAGGCACGACAAGAAGAAAACACGAGCCAACGCGAGGGCAACGCTAACCTACGTCATGCTTTTCCAAAAGGGTTTCATCCTCAGCCCACGCTGAACCATTCCACCCAGTTTCATACAAATCGGGCCAGCAGGTTTTCTGTCTGTGGACAGATTCGCTCACTGCTATAGCGTCACAACTGTGACGGAGCGGGTCACAAAACATTCTTATTGAGGCAATAAATTAAGGCTGAATTAAATTAAGGGGTCCAAGTGAGAGTGGCAAGAAGGGTGGACGGGACACGTTACTCAACACCTCTGGCCCATCGAAAGATCAGAAGATGAATCTGAAGCCATTTATTGCCACGTTACACATACAGGAAGTTGTCTTGGGGATTAGTGCAATGTAAGAATAAAATAAGATATGCAAGCAAAAATGAGCAATATAAACAGACAAGATAAGTACGTTAAAACATGTATGTATGTATGTACATATATTTCCATGAAAAGCATGTAAATGTTCCAGGGATGGTGTATCTGGGTCAATGGGGGACTCAGACTCGAGGGGAAGAAGCTGTTTCCGTGGTCGGAGGTCTTGGTCCCGATGGACCGCAGCCTCCTGCAGAGGGAAGGGGCTCAAAGAGTCTGTCTGCCCCGGGGTCAGAGGGCGGCGGCTACAATCTTCTTGCCCACCTCACACACGAGTGCGGGCAAGAGAGTCTCTGTATTTTCTTGCGGCTTCTGGATCAGCAGAATGTTTCTTTATGCTGCGCATGCATGGTCAAATTGGTGAATCTGGTTGTCAGTTTCCGTCTGTTTCGGTTGTTATTTTTTTGTGAGAGCCGGACATTTTTTCTTCATTTGCTTTGCTGAGGCCTACTTTCCATTTTGTGCTACTTTGGACTTCTACTCAACTTCCTTCAGGGAGCGATTGCATTCCTTGCCACACTGCATTCATTTCACAACTAACGAGCATTGTTACACAATAATATAGTGTGAATGCACATTATTGCATAGTATTTACAGACTGTTGTTCTATTATCTCATTCACAGCCTAAATCCTTCAGCTTAAGTCTTTCTTTCATAGCCCAGTTGAAATGAGTGTGAATCAATGAATAAAACCTAACACTGTTGAAAACAAAACGGACCTCTGTTGGTAATTGTTACATTAGTACACTGGCGAGATCCTGTCCAAAGAACAGCGTGTCACTGTCTATAAATAGATGATGAGGTCTAAGAATGGACGCCCTCAGTGGCATTTGCACATAATGCTGTCCGTTCACAGTAGCGTGTTGTAGTTATTTCAAGTACACAGTTTGAATGTCTTGACATAATATTTGAGGGGTTTCACCCCTTAATAAGTTATCTGCTATTTGACTATGAGATTTATTCTTTAATGATTCCCTTTTTTTTGTTATTAAATTTGTTTGGATTTATTCGACAAATTGGAAACAAGTCATCATTTTTGTTTAACAGGTGCGATGATTGTGGTACGTTTCTTTATTATTTGTTAGAAGAATTAAACATGACTCATTTGAAGGTACCGTGTGACTCAGCTAAATAAACCAACACCTTTGACTCGAGGTGTAATCGGCTGGCAGGAAGGTGCATTTTATCCTCTTTCTGTGATTGTGTGGCTGCGAGATGAACAGACAGTCATAGAAGGAGGTAGACGACACATGCAGATGCTGAAGGACTTGGTAGAAAAATGAATGAAGACCTCCATCTACTGGCCAAATATTGGGAAAACACATCCTAGAAACATCAGCAATTAGCCATATATAAATAATATAAAAGCAAAATCTCCCCAAAACTGTTGCAGTCCCAAGTTTTCTTAAATGTCTTTTACTCAAAGTCAAAGTCATTGAATTTTGTCTGCTATCAGAATTCTATTAATTATACTATTAATACCTACTGTGTGGGGTTAAACGCGCACAAAACCAACACTAAGACCACCAGGCGTCAAACTACGGCAGAAATAATCGTAAATTGATCAGTGGATTTCAAACCAACCAACGTGTTATTTATTAATGTTCACGCTATTCTCTATTCAGAGGTTCTTTGAACTGAGATATTTTCATTTAGGGGCCTCAATTTTAATCTGAACTGCCATTAATACTACTACTACTTTAACATTACATTACATCTCATTCAGCTGACGCTTTTATCCAAAGCGACTCACAATAAGTGCATTTAACCACAGGGTATTACTACCACTTCTATTTTTGAGAATTTCATTAGCAGACTTGACTGTGTCATTATCATTAGTAATTTCACTTGTGCTTTTCCTTCTGTACTGAAAATGAGGTATGTATTCATCTGCTTGAAAATTATATTAGAAGAAGAAGAAAAACACAAGCAACATACACTTTCTGATTAAGATACTGCTTCATAAAAAAAGAAAAGAAAATTATATGTATATTAATCATTTTTACAGCACCTGAAACCTCTGATAATGACCAAAGGAGGGGTAAACATTTAAATGATATTGAAAGGATCTGGTATGAATCTCCAAACATCACTAGGTGGCAGTGCTGATTCACTGTTCACATCAGGTCCCTCAAATGTGGAGTTTCCTGTTGTGCATTTTGTTTCGAGTCGTTTTCTACTTGTCTTTGCAGGAACAAAATGAAAATACTCAATTTAGTGTATCATGAGTGCGGACCAGCTATTCTTCTGCTGTTTTGTGTTGAAGGACAGACAAACGGGGGGAAATCAGATGGAATACGTTCTCAACAAAGAAAGTACAAAACTGCAGCCCTGCTTGGTCTGCTTCATGTATGTGGCCAGTTCATGTGTGTAGATAATGTTTCCGTAGCATTTGTTCAGCATTCTGGTCACAATTGTAGCAGCAGCTGTAATAATAGCAGTTATGTAGACCTACAACGAAGCAACCATTGTCATTTATGTGCAACAGGAAGAGCACATGAGTATTTATCAGCATTAGTGGTGGAAATTCTTTACTTTTAGTTTCATGTTGCACACTTCCCGGGACACAGATGAAGCTGTTAAAGCTTAGCTGCATCTTTGCTTTTCTTGTTCTAACGTGACAGAATATCTGCTGTGACTGAAGTGTGTAGTCTTGGTGACGGCAGTAGTTATGATCAATCTGACACGGGATTGAGATCAAAGACATTATATTCTTTTATTAGTGGGAATTGAGGTTGTCGACGTGACGACTTTAAATCTATTGAAGTGCAATACAGTTATTCTCTCACGTGTTCCTACACTGAATCCCTGTGGCTAACGGCTTGTGCCACACCAGACGTTCATAGAGATACGTTGATACTTTTACGTCACAACTTCTTTCAGCTGAGTAATACTCAAAAAGACAAGCCAGTTAATAAAGTAATTCTAATTTCAACAGCACCTGATCTAGCTGAATGATGACATATATATATATATATATATATATATATATATATGTATATATATAGAGAGAGAGATCTATATACATATATATATACAGATGTTCGGTTTGCATCTTTGAAATCTTTAGTAGGATTATAAGATGCAAGATTAACAAGAAATGTACCACTGTGTTTACTGCTCTCCCCTGCAGCTACGCCGCCAAGACCGATCCATAATAATAATAATAATCCCCAGCTGGAGAACAAACGACATCTGGGCGTGGAGAGACGGGAGTGGGCTTAAGCCTCAGCAGGGTGGACGGCAGATGGTGTCACTGCAGCAACACTTCTCCAGGTACGGAAGCACCTTCCCCGGCAGCCACGCACTGAAACACAAGAGAGCCTCACTTGCAGAAAACACTAATGCCAATACTTAAGAGGTTAAAGGGGAGCTCCAATCAATTGTACCCATCTAAGTCTGAGGTGTGGGTGAGTTCCATGTGGAAGTTGTGTGAAGCCTCCTCGGGCTATATGGGGAGTTGGACAAGCTATGATGCATTCGGTTGGGGCTGAAGCCTGCAGGGTTGTCGAGTTAGAACATTTTTTTGCAACATTTGCAAATATATGTCAGTAGATTCAATGCAAAAGGGCCACAACTCAACGACAAACTGTCAAATCGAGCAATAAGTGCACATCACACATCCATCAAAACACTGAACACCAAATGTGAAGAACTGTTGGGCTTCAGTGGTGACATCCAACATTTTCATTGACTTGAGAGCCCACTTCATGTAGAGAATTGTCCAGAAAGAAGAAATATGCTGAGTTTTATTTGGAGTAGCTGACACTTAAACCCGATACGAAGTGTCAACCTACCACTGTGTCCCCACTTATTGATCTTCCCTCCCTGCATGCCATGGAGAGAAATCACAGCCAGGCATTATGTCCAGCCAACCGTTTGGCTGCTGACGGAACTTCACGAAGTTCGATTCCATCTGCATATGCTCAGTGAGGTGTGAGATGAGGCCTGATGATTTGTGACTGTAAGTTAATTCACGCCTGCCTTGCAGATCTGAACCACTGCCTAATATTTAGCTAGATTAGGTCTGTTTTTCTCTCCCTGTATAGCACAATCCATAATGAAGAAATGATCCCTTCTATTTAAATATCTATATAATTTTATTTTATTAAATAATGATACTTTTTGTTATGTAAGAAATGGCCACTACTGTTTGTTTGCATTTGTTTGTTTGTCAATTTCCTCAAAGAAGGGACAGAAAATCCTGATTGAGTTTAAATTTCATATATATATATTTTATATTTAGCGTACTCCTTAAGGTTAAATATCCCTCAAGTCTTTTTCTGAGAAAGAAAAAGCTTTGAAACACAGTTTTTCTAGATTATTTTGGTAACATGCAGTGTTTCATCCAAAAGCAGCCTTTAACTATGATGACATTTGCTGGTGATATTTCTTTGAACACTGCACTTCAAGGACCCTTAAGTAGTGTTGGTGGAGCTCTGGTGGATCCTTTATGTCTCATATTTTATTTACAGAACAACTCATATCTTACAATGTTTTATATATATTCCACATGAACAGATCTGAATAGTTTCTATTTGAATTTAGACTCACAACAAATGAAATGAAAGGAGTGATAAAGTTTGCTGTCTTTGTATTTCATAAACATTCTCATATTGCCTATTCTTCACAAAGTAAAGACTTTTAAATTGGTTAAGATATTTATGTTGAAAAGAAATAGTTTATACTTCAAGTGACCGTGTTTTGCAATGAGCGGGCAAAAATGGACAGAAGGATGGGAAACCGAACAATAAACTAATTGAATCATTCATTCTGTAAATATATATATATAATTCTCCCATTAACCTCAGAAAAGAGGAATTGTTGTGGCATAAATAAAGATTCACGAATATTTGCAAAATATTTCATGCAAATATTTACAGATGGATTTGATGTAATCTGTGAAAACAAACATCATCAACCCTTTCTGACATGCACACGTGTTGTGTTGTTAAGTGGAATGCAGTGGGGTCCAGTGACAGTTGAACTAGTATCACAAAATTATCTTTCACATCATTTGGAAAACTGCCTTCTAATGTTATGCAAAGATCTAAAAGACACTCTTCATGTGGAGACGCTGCAGGCATTATGCAGATGGTGCATGCGTCTACGTACAATCTCGGAAACCCTGCCCATCGCCTGACGAGGATTTAGTTTAAAATGAGATTTGAAAACTGGCGACTTGTGAAAAAAAACACGATTCGAACCTTAAACGACCAATCTGACTGTAAACAGCAGTGAGTGCACAGAAGAGGACGTATTGGCCCTGATATCTCCCTCGCCTTTGACAGACAGACGTGTAACCTGCATTTCTTGTCTCTGGTTTTACATGTAAAGTTCAGTTTGTCAGTTGCAGGGAATCCAGCACAGTCGTTAGTGATCCGTCTCTCTGTTTTGACGGTGTGGCCAGAACAAATATTTTAGGTGAAAGCAAAACCACAACTCAGTGTTCACTCAGTGGCGCTTCTGAAATGAGGTTGAACAAAGAGGGACAATCGGACCGCAGACAACTCTCCTGCCTGACCGTGGTCGCGAGTGTGAGATGGCGAGGAGAGTGCGAGGCCTTTTTATGTTCCACATCGAGGTTGGAGCTTGTTTTTCCCTTTTCTGAGAGCACTCGGCTGCATGTTATTCCCCACGTGGTCCAGAGGGAGACCAAGAGACCCACTTTCCCTTCAGTGCCCAAACACAAACAGAAAAGTAAAGACCAACACTGAGCCGAGGAAGCCTCGTTTAGAAAGACCAGCGCCGGGGAGAGTCTGTGGCAAAGCAGCATGAGGTGAATGACTATAGAGTGGGGCAAAAGTGGAGGAACTGAATTTAATATTGCTGAGAATAAAATGAATGTTCAATGGAGTACGGTTGATTTTTGTGACTTTGTGCTTTGAACAACCACGAGGATCAAAAACGAAAACAGATTCCAGTGTTAAAATGATAAAATGATGATAAAATGAACCACGGTAAACTGTAACATTCATTTAGTGACACACATAAGAAGATATGTGTTAAGTCATACACGCTTATCTGTGGAGTAGATGCTGTAGATTTGACCTCTGTACTCCTCACTGTCACTTCAGAGAGGAGTGGTGGAAACAGAGGGTGGCTTCGTGCCTCTGATTCAGTTTGCGGGCTTGTGACCACCAGCAGCTCGCCTGCTGATTTCCTCTTGGCATGTTTGTTTCAGAATGTCAATGATGGGCTCACAGTCTGCAGCTCGTGCTAAAGACTGTGACACATGCATCACGAAGGGGGAAAAGATGCTCTGGATGTGACAGAATACAAAATAAAAAGGATGTTGAATCTGTGCTACAGGCTTTATTATGTTGGCCTTGTGAACGAGGTTCACAAGGCCAACATTATACTTATACATACTTATATTGCTGTATTTTGCATGTTTTTGTGCCTAACGTCTGAATTCCCTCTGTGCTCTATTCACCGTTATGTCCAGCAGTGGTTTTCGTCATACTTTTTACAGTAAACCAACTGTACACTTCCTGTCCAACACCAACCAGCAGACTGACAAAGCGAGCTGCTAACTAGCAGCCATAGTGAAGCATACCGTAGGGAAAGTTATCATATTTCCCTCGAACCAACAGGCTAAAAGGATGAAAATGACATTTTCATTGACAATTCATTTTCTTCTACATAAGCTATAACATGACTAAAATGTAAACAAAGCTGTATCCCCAGCATCAAAATATTATAATATATTACATATATTTAGTTTTGATTACATTTAAGTTTGCTTCAGTATTTGGTAATCAGTTATTGGTTGAGTATTTAAAATGGTTTTAAAACGTTAACCTCAGCATTATATTCTAACTTGTTTTTTTTAATCATGCACATTGTGTTTTTGATCCTTCAGCATTTCCTCCCATCCAGTCGGTTACACTGACTACTTTTCCTGTTGTCTTCTTGAGCGCAGCATGGAGGAGACCGTGCGCACGTTACTACAGAACCAGGACTCTTTGGAAGGGCCCAAGGTGGACCCACTGGACCTCATGAAAGCCTACAAGGTAATAGGCGCTATCACAGACCTGTAAAATATGGAGCATTTTTTTTCACTTTTCATCTTCCAGATTGCACATATGACACTCCAGAAAACACTAAATGGAGGATTTTCCATTAGACGTACTATTGATCTTTTCAGATGTCCTCACATTTAAGATGTGCTTTGTCAAGATTGCTAAGTATGCAACAAAATAAAGCCAATTAAGAGAAATGCTGATTAATTTAAAGCTGTTTGCATTTTCTGGAGTTAGCAGGTAAAAGCCAGACTCAATATCTACTATAGGAACACCTGCATTATATCTATAAGTGTATATACATATAATATCAATGTGTATCTTTGTCTACGGCTACTTTATACTGAAGGAATAGCTTCTCCTTAAGTTCACCGAGTCCCTGCAGCCACCTGGAAGCAGCAGGAGACAACAGCAGGACTCACTCTTATTGGAGCAGAGCACAGTACCACAACACACAGCCATCAACTGAGTTCACCTCCATCGCAAGACCTCCGGCTGCTACAAAATACACACAAACACACCTTCGCACACAAAGGACTGGTTCTGTTGTGTTCTGTGGAGATGTCAGATTACGGGGGCTCATTAGTCTCCTTTTTAGTTTTTAAAATATTTGTTAAATCAGAGTTTAGGTCTTTTGGGGAATTGCTTTTCAAAAAGAACATTCTAAAATATGATCTGACCACTTACACATTAAGTACATCTGAATTATGAATTAAATTGCATTGGGTGGATGCAATCATATAAACCTTTTCAACAAACAATTTATTATTATTTATTCAAATTAACTAAGTAGCCTTAAAACTCCCACACACATAAGCACACATATGCTTCTTGCTGTGGGTTTGTGATGCTGTATGTTTAGACCATGTTGCTCCGCTCCAGTGACGTACCGAAACTCATTTGATGCAATATTACTATTACTATAACTATAAAATATACATGTATTATGGAAAAAAGTGAAGTGGAAGCGTTCGTGGCAACATTCAGTGTGTTGTTCATCAAGGGTTATTGCTAATATAACGAGCCCACATTGATGAAGAATTTATTTTTCATTTATTTGTGACTTGAAGGCACGAGTCTTTGATTGGCTCCCGCTGTGTTTCAGGACAAACTCTTGGAGGAAATGTGGAAGCAGCAGGACAGTCTGGAGGGTCCCACAGGCACGGCAGCGGAGACACCCGCCGCGCCCGAGGCCGGCCAAGGGTCAGAGGAAACCGCAAAGGACAGCAATCCTCTGCTACAGCAACTCCGAGCCCTGGAGGTAAAGTGGATTGCATGGTCCACTCCCCCCCGCACCCTCCCTACTGTTCTCCATTTCTCCCCTCCTCCTTTTCCCCATCCCTGAAATGTCGCATTGATCGATATATTAAGAGTACTACTCATTACATGAGATGTGTTATATTAGAGACTTGGAATAATTGGGAAACATTCAAGGCTGTTTTATTTCTAAGGACTGAACATTATTGTGCTGCTTACATTATGGTCTGTCTGATCACTAATACATTTCATTTTCTTCCTATTTAAGACAAAGAAGGATGACAGGGTCTTTAAAGGAGTGGCATGGCGATAAATAATACTTTGAGTGTATGTTCATGCAAATTGTTGAACCAATTAAAATGTATTTTTTATCATTTTGCAGTAGCACAGGTAAGTTAATTTTGTCTCGTGATTGATAACAAATATTTGGTCTGCTCGGTAAAATCTTTGCTATTACTGGTCTTCATCAAATCATCAGAACTGCCCCTGTGCCGCAGCTTGAAATTGCTATTTCTGTAGTGAGCTGCTGGGTTACGTGAGTAAACCTGCTTGCTGAGGGCTGAACTACTTTAAAGCTGCCTACGGTAAATGCATAATGAATTCATCAAGAACACTGTAGCATTCGTGTTTGTCAGTTAAAACTTTTTTAAAGGAATTGGTCATTAACCACCATCATGTGTCATTCATAGCACCCGCGGCTGTGTATGTTTCTCTGATACTATGAGCCATGGAGGTGAGAAACAAGCCCAATCAGTGGGTCATTATGGCTCTCTCCGTCTTTGTAAGATGAGATCACAGAAAATGAGACCCCATTATGATGCAGAGCGGCGCAAGGGGCAAGACAGGGAACAGTAGGATACAAAGGAGTCATTCAAATCAGGGGACGTGATAATTAAAATACTGACAGGGTAGTTAACATTTGCAGCCAGTGTTCCAGGGCCCCTCGGTCACACCTTTCCTGCTAAAAGTAAAAGGACTTGCCATGCTGCCAAAGGTTTCACAGCTATTATTGATCACATATTGCTAAACTACTGCAAACTACTACCAAAGCCTGAAGGTAAAATCCTCCAAGAAACAGAATTATCATTGCAAGTTCTGCCTGACCTGTTCGGTCATGTTTGTTAAAGTCGTTTTGAAGAACGTCACCTGTACTGACGATTGTCCTTTACCAAAACACAACCGGGGGTTACTTATTGTTGCGTAGGGACAACAAATTCCTAATAGCGGTCTGTATTGAGCTGCTGAAGCAGCTGCTTAGGGCCTCCGGTGTCATGCTATTGCAGGCTCTGACTGTGTCTGTCAACATAATGGGAAAGAAGAAGAAAGTCTTGTGAGGTGCGAGACAGCGATGGAGAGTTGAGGGCCGGGCCGCGTTTGTCTTGTTAGAAAAGAGAAAGCAAAACATTTTCTGTGTCACGCCACAATATACAGATGATTGAAATATTTTCATTGGCCATCGCAGCTGATTTATTTGGCTATATTCCGATTTCGTATTTTGATTTTCACCACCAGTCACACCCGTTACCCCATACTTTGATGTCATACCATGCACATGCATGCTCGTGCATGAACGTTCATGCCATTCACACCTCCTAGTCACAGCCACGGAAGCAATTCATGGTTAACTGTCTTGCTGATCCTCCGATTGGAGGACGACCCTGGTCTCCACCGAGCATAAAAATGTTCCAAGAACCACAAACAAGTGAAGAGATAAATGCTGAAAACAACCTGAGCTTTCCCTGCTTTTTGACTGAGGTGGAGCCACTGACTCGTCTCCTCAACCAAAAACTAATATTCAGCGAATTTGAGTGTTCAGCCTAAAACAGTGAATGATGCGACGCTCGCTGCAGATCTGCCGTGTTAACTGGGCCAAAACAAGGATGAGAAAGCATGGCAGCAGCAAATGTATAGCTTTGGCTCCCTTTGACCTTTGCACAGAGCATCTGTAAGCCTCCATGCTGATCTGTGGCCTTTTAAACACTGTCCAATTGCTCCCTTAGACAAACAGCTATTATGAACCGGGTTAACTTACTGCGGTGAATACCTTTGGCTGTATTCTTTGACGCTTTGAGGACGGTGCTCAGCTGTGACCAGTATAGTCACTCTGGATGTATCACTTCTTCGGGCCCTCTGAGTCGTTATCAGCCATTTCCGCGCGGTTCTGTGAATCTGTTGTTCGGAGGGCTGAAGTGAAAACAAGCCATCTTAGCCCAGCTTCACCGGATCAATCGTTTTAGTGGAAAGCCTCATCTTACGGGGTTTTTCTCTTTAACCGTCGAGCTAAACCTCTGTCATTAATTGAATTATACCTTCCTCAAGGGAGCCTTACAGACACTGTGAAGTTCTGCTAAATGGAGTCTAGACGTCTGAACTTTGAAGTGTCATTCATTTAAAACCGTCTTTCCACAGTGAACCAGAAAATCCCACAGTGCTGTTGGGAGAAAGCCTCCCTACTATCTGTCTGTCTGCTTGAAAGAAAAAATGATAAGAAGTTCACAAATATAAAGTTCCTTGTTTTATTATCATATCATTTATTATGTGTGTGTGATACTCAGCTGGGACATTAATTACAGCACCACTTTCTCACTGAATTGAATGAGAAAATGTGTCCAAACGTACTGGTGCTGTACGTTTTATCTATTTCCCAATTATATTTGATGTATTTCATGCTGTCTGTGTTACAGGCTGAGAACTCTGCTCTGTCAATGGAAAACGACAATCAGAGGAAGCAGTACGAACGCTGTCTGGACGAGGTGAGTGTGGCACAAGCATGTCCGCTGTCTTGTATGTTTGTCTATCTTCACTGATTTAACTATTCAGCTGTACTCTCCAAGTGTCTCATGCAAGTAACGGCTTGTAATAGCAAACGTTGTTGGGCAAAATATAATTGCTGTAATATTTCCACAATGTCAACATAATGCTAACATTGCCAGCTCTGCGTTTCTTTCAGTTCACTAATTCGGAAGAAATAGGAAAATAACTTATTCCCTACTTCATGTCTGTCGGGTTAAAATTAAGCCAGGATTTGATTAGCTTAGCATAAAGACTGCGGGCATGCGGAACCAATTCCCTCCCCCTTTCTCAGGGACCCAAGCTAATGTTGTAGTGGTAGTTAAACAAGCAGGACCTCGTGTTTCAGAGCGTTCAAGATGCTATTAGGTGGACATTGTTCACTGTGTCGGGCTGTTTCCCTTTGACTCCAGTTAACCTGGTGTTCAGCGCCTTCACATTTACCGGAGTGGTATCAGTTTTTGCCCCTTTCGTTCTTTAAAGGAAAGTGAACACAATCTGTAAATACAGCCAGGACAAAGTCACCTGTTTGCTAGGACCTCAGATGACTACCAGCTTCTATCGACACACTTACACACTAGGACTATTATCTACGGCGTTACTGAGGTCCATGGAGGAGAGCCAAGTGTAGCATCTAAGTAATCTGCCTGTACTCCTTTGATCTCTGACAAGACTGCATCTATTTCCCTTCTTTCCCCTCATCTCTCTCCAGTCAACAAGACTTACCCACTCTATTTTCTTTAGCGGGCTTCAGTAATTGGCTTGTTGCCGTGGAGATTGCTGCCCATGAGAATTTAACATACTCTGGTTGAGGACAGAGTTTCAGCTCTGGGATAAATTCCCCTTCTCCTGCTTTTCAGTCATATTATGCGCATTCATTTTTTTTTCAGAAGGCTTCCCTGTTGTGGTATGTATGAGCCAAAGCAAGTTGTTTAGATAGATAAAATCCTTTTGCGGCTCTCAAAAGCGGAAGCGTTATCGTTCCTGTGTTAAGTTATAGTGTATTCTTCAGCTTCAGACACTATAAGCAAGAAAGAAGACATTTCACGTTAAACAGTTTAATATTAACAATAAAAAAAAAAAAGATTTTCATTTTTCATAAAATCTAAAGATCTAAAAGTTTGATCCCACTGATACCAATTAGGCTCAGCCCAGCAGATGCATTCTGTAGGTAGAAAAAGAAACATTCTCTTCTAAAACGACCTTCCTTCAGATCTATTTTGGTTTATTCTGCACTAATTGCAGGCCGCTGCTGTGAGATTTCACTAAATTGGACTTTGTGATGCAACACGCCGTCAATCTGTCCTCACAGCATTTTACATGCCTCTGGATTATCTTCGATGGTGTTAGCACTCGGTCATATTCATTTACAGTCTCTCCAGCTCCACAGAAAGTTTGGGAATACACTCTTAAGTAATGACCAGATGGCTAATTTATTTTTTGAACATATTCTAACTGTCTTTTTACTTCTACTCTCTTCAAGGTGGCGAACCAGGTGGTCCAGGCCCTCCTCACACAGAAGGTTTGTTTCTGCACCATGAACGCATCGTTAATCCAGTCAGGGATACGATAACTGTATATCAGCAACACGGAGAAAGATTAGCCGTTCATGTCAAACCACACGATCTTCAAGAGTGAATATTAAATCCCTTCTTATTTCAGAATTTCTCAACAGAGAGCGCTGTTCTTGATGAGGTTTTACCTGCAAAATGCTTGTGATCCATTAAAAAATTAAATAGTTGACCGTGTTATAGAGCACTGGCATCTTGCACGGAGGCACCTTCGAGTCCTGCTCCTGCTGAATTAGCATTTGGTACACATGTGTTCCCCTTAAATATCCCAGTCTTTCCCACTTATCTCTCATGTTTCCTTCTTTCTAGGACTTGAAAGAGGAGTGTGTGAAGCTGCGGACCCGCGTGTTTGACTTGGAGCAGCAAAACCGCATACTGAGCGTGCTGTTTCAACAGCGTGTCAAAACGTCCACGAGTCCTGTCTCCCAGGTAGGAACACATGACACAATATATGCAAACAGGCACTGGCAGAGCAACCCAGCTTCAAGGCTTTTTGAATTTAACATGAGCAGGGCTGCACTTCCAAAGGTTTCTACCTTTATAAAGGAACACGCAGAGAGAGGTCTACCCAGGGTGCAATCTAATTTAAATTGCTAGGATGTACAGATTTACTGTCGGATTTAGAATTGATAGAGGATTTATTTGTTTTTGTGTCAAATTAGTATGCTCCAGTTCAATGTGTCCCTTGCCACTCTCTTCTTTCATGCTGATAATGTCAGAATTTAGCCTAATGGTGCGCCAGACCTCTTATCCAGCTGCTGCCGGAAAGTGAGCTGCAGACTTTCTCAAGGTTCTCTAATTAGAAGGCTCTCAACCATACAGCAGCAGGGGTAATTGGTTTAAACCTGCGTCTTCTTGTAGAATTGTTAGCCATCATGTTTAGTTGTAGAGCTTCCCCCCTAAGTGCACTGTAGAGCTTTGAAGCTGCTCTTATTAATAACACGGATGTTATACTCGCATATGCGCATACATGTGTGTGTGTGTGTGTGTGTGTGTGTGTGTGTGTGTGTGTGTGTGTGCGTCAGCTGCAAGTTAATGCAGATTTAAGGTTAGTCACAGTCTACGTTTGTTTTTTGTTAGGATTAGGGTTCTATTATCTAGGAAAAGGCTGGTAAAAGTGGTTTGGTGTGCATATATTAAAGAGACATAAATGAAATACAGATGGAATTTTAAGTATCTGTTTAGGACATGAAAGTCAGAAAGAATTAAATGAAGTTATGATAACGCTTATATTTGCCATTTCAATGATGCTCATGTGTCTTTTAGAATTGTTAAAAATCAGCTCAGCAAACCAACAAACTGCAGCTGTTGTTTTTTCTCCATTGCAGCAACAGTATATTCAGTGAAGCACCTTGTAATGTTTCCTTTGTGTTCTAAATGTTTCAACTATAAACCTTTGAACCACAGTTTGGCTGATTCATTTGTTGGAATTATTGTAAGTGTTTTGACGTGTATTTAATCAACCTGATAATGGCCTCAATATAGCTGCTTAGATCAGCGTACGAGAGGCTCTACTATGGATTATTGATGAGGGATACTTTTGATGGACGGATGATTCGTTTTGCATTCTGGGCTATATATTGGAAGGAACCTCCTGTCTTTAATGGTCGAGCCCAGCGTGTGAGCCGGTTGTTTTCTAAGAAGTGTGAGCTGTAATTGACAGAAAGGTTAGATTATTGGACTGCAATAAGGATCTCTCACTGTCATTGTACCAGCGGGAATACGTACGGTTGTTGAAGCCAAATACAAGAACACAACACGTCTAAAGCATGAGTTTTAGTGTTGAATAGCTACAGCTCTGCCAATGCTGGTGCAGCGCTTGTCCAGGAATGTTCGCATCCTTGTTTATACTTAATAATAATACCATAAATAGTAATGCACACGATTATCCAAGTATACACTTTACAGTTAACTCTGGAGAGGAATTAGATCAGACAGCTGAGACATATTTTCGGCCTCAATGGCAATGTAGGTCAATGTCATTTCAGATTTGAACGTGTCTCAATTGAGCCTAAGACTGCTGCTGCGCACACATGAACCCAAACAGAAAGTAACAGACATTTTTTAATGTTTTGTATTTGATTTCATGACACTAATGTCTACGTCGAGATTAAAATATTCTAATTGCTACTGTGTTGAAAAACAACGTATTTGTTTAAAGCCAAATGTCATGGCACTTTTGTTCATACAGTACAGTAATTCACAAAGAAATCCTTAATACATTAGTTTTGGGATTTGTTGTTAAATTTCACGCATAACAATTTGAACATACATTTTTTTGCAATTAATTGCAGAAATACTTTTTATCATGAACTACAAATTGTCTTTAGTCTCCAATAATTGAAGTTGCTTTGTTTCTAAAGGTCTCTGGATTGTCTGGGTTGTCATCCGGGTTCCACTACACACACAAACGCAAGCGATCTGTATTCCGGATACCAGTTTGATACCACAGACAGAATTGGTAATTAAAAAAATAACGAATTAAACGTTCCAAGTCAAGAAGTTGTCGAGAAAAGTCTAGGAATTCCATACCAGGCCATTAAGTATGCTACAGCGGGAAATGCTGTCCTTGATCTATAACCTTTCTATAAAGGTCAAACAGGCCGGCGGAGCTAAGAGAGAGATTATGCCGTAGTACGACATAACGTATCACAGCAGATCTGCTCAGCTGCTTCTGCAGCGAGGCGTATTAGACATGCCTCATTTAAAGGTTCTCAATGCAATATTCAGAGCATTAACACAGCAACAAACAACTATTGGCTTTATAATGATATCTTGTGCCCTAAGTTTCCCTCTGCTTTGAATGCGTAGGCCAGGCGTGCATGACTCTCTATTGTGCCTCTCTGGATGGCTAAACACAGTCGCTCTGCACTGTGCCAACAATGGGCTAACATTGTTTTTGAAGCGCAGCTCCCCAATATTAACCGTTAGCTCTGTCAGCACTGCTGTCATTGTTTGCGCTGTTTGTTTGCGCTGTGACCTCTCGCCAGGTTGAGAGTTGCATGGAGGCAAGCCAGCTTTGAAGGTCTTAACACAACCTCCTTGTAAATGTACTGCTCACTTAACAACTAGTTGACCAAATTCTTTGAGTTTGAGACGGTGCTCTCCTCACTGATTTTGTGTGTGGTCTGATTAACAAACTCATTACTGTCCTTAAGTGCTCAGTAAAATAGTAATTCGATCCTTTTCAGGCTAGAAAATGAACGTAATTGTTACAGTGGACACTGGATTTCCAGCCCCACAAGATGATCTCACTTTCACTGGGCCAGATTTACAGCAAATATAAGAATGTTAATAACACAATATTGCCAGCAGCACCAGAAAAACCCTTTTATGTGCCGAAGGTTGCCTTTGATAATGCAGCACTGAAAACGATCCAGGAGGCAACATTCGTAGTGTAAGATAATTATCTCATCCCTAAAGCTTGAATATAAACTACAGTTATTGTATTAATTTCCAGAAAAGTCTTTTCTAAGTATTTAGAGCAAGCTTTGCATTTATATCTTTGATTCCAAAGTTTGAGGCATTATACTTGTTGTCTAGTTGAGAAAAGTTACAGATGGGATTTCCTGCTGTGACCACCTGCTGTGCAATTAAGCAACATTTTGCTTTTGGTTACGACTAAAAGATCAATTTACCGAACCCCGAGAGCTTTCAGAGAGGGTAGGCAATTTTGAAGCAAGGCAAAAAGAGATTTATGTTGCTGAAATCACCGTCGAAAGATGAAAATGATGAACAACTCAGGAAGTCGATGACAGTTTAATTGTCCAGCATAAATTTGTGTGCACCATTTACTTTTTGCTATATTTGGTTTTGTTCAACAACTGATTCAAAATATCTGTCGTCCGTAGCAGTGAAATGTCCAACTGTTTTTGTTGTTTTTGGTTATGGGCATGCAGGTGTCTTATAAGGGCTTTATTAGACCTTTTTTACTGAAGACAAAACAGGTTGATGAGAACCAAAACCGTAGATATGATTCAGGTATAAAAGGACAGGGTTTCATACCCCAAAAAGTCATCACTAGATTGCTCAGTGTTATTTGTTGTTGTGTTGAGCAAAGCCTTTCTATTTATGTGTTTATTGTGGGAGTAGATGTGCTGGACCGATCTTTCATAGAAGCCTGTATTAGAAAATGTAAAAATGTGTTGTGTCCTATTTCTTGTGTGTGTAGAGCTTTGACACAATGAACCGACTTCTGCAACAAAGCATTCACAAAAAGCAGTGACTTTCTGGTGCCAGCATTAAAGATTTAATTTAATGTGCCTGACATGGTCCAAGCCGTTGTTTCTCACTGGTCCCTTTACTCTGAGCTGCTCACCTGTCTCAGAGGGAGCAAAGGCGCCAGAAGGCTAAAGTGAATTGACCTTGTGTCTTAATGGTCTGTTGATCACCTGGACCTCAAATTGTCTTAATAGCAAATATTACTTCAATACCGTGGACAAGTTGTGGTGTTCCACTTTGTTTCACTGGCTCTAGGGGTGGATATCAACGAGAAAAGAAAGCGTAATGTGAATGTTTCTAAAAAGCACACTACGTTTAGTGTGAGGAATGCAAGTTATTAAGAGTAAGGATGAATTTCTGTTTTGTTGTTCTCCAATAACCTATTTTGAGTATTATCACCGCAACCATTGTAATGCATCAAATTGACCTAACTGGAACAACTGGGTACCTGTTTTACAAAAAGAAAGTGGGTAATGTTGTGAACACTTAACAACAACAATAAAGCGGCCTCTTTACTGTAAGTTCAGGCAACACAATTGGTTGGTTATATTTAGGAAAACAGCACGGTTCAAACTAAGTAGCTTTGTTTCCACCCAAAGAATGGTTTAATGCAGAACACAAACAGAAGTCTGCAGGGGTAAAGTTGTGTCTTAGTTTAGCACATTTATCCAACCTGTATCATGATTCACTTACTCATTTCATTACATCAGGCCTTATGCCAGGTTCAGTCTACAGCCTTTACATATACACTGATGATTAGTGGATGTAATCCCTCCCATTATGCTATGTTGTAATTGATTAGTAATCCAACCATTGACTAATGCACTACAGTGAGCTGCAAAAAAAGATCTACAAACCCGTAATGCAGCTTAACAGACCCGTCACCCTGGCTTGTTGTTTTATCAAAATTGGTTGTCCCCTTTAGAAGTATGATTCAGGGCTGAACTAAATGAATTATAATGATAATAATAATTAGAATTTAAAAAATACTACTCACATACAACAAGATGCAAATGGGTGCAGTATAAAGTGCTCATGCCTTGTCTCTGTCACAGCCAGAGGGAACAAACACAGACAGTCGCACAAAGCCAAGTTCCACTTTCCACTTCCATCTTTGGACGTGTCATACGTTCATTTATTCACTTACTTTTCCTTTTAGTCACGACATAGATGTACTTTTAAGAAGAGGAAGCCTGGCCTCAGGCTCTTAAATCATTTGTAGGTAACTTGTGTATTTAGAGAACTTTCGTAGCTTCTGAATTTGATGCTTCTTGATTTGTTGCGGAGTACATCCAGAGTGACTATACTTACCCTGATGAAAGTACTTTACTTAATAATATGCATAGACAGAGCCGTTGATTTCTGGAACCCTTGAGATAATGTTTTTACCATTTTTGGCATTCAGCTACTTTTTCACATGACACATTTTGCATGCAATATATTCTTCTTTCACAATTTTAAATTACAACGTCTGAATTGTATCCAGAGAAATATTAAGAATTGTTGCCTCATAAAGACAATCATTGCAGTGGGTGAAACATCTGCGCAGCCGTCCAGTTTGCCCTTGATTTTAAGCACAGGACCACTGAGGAGATCATCGAATCTCAGATAGCCCTCAACATGCCGACTGTAATTAGTTCCAACAATAATCCGCACAATCACGTCAAATGTGGCCTCTTCCCATAGAGCTCGTGAAATAAAGGCCAGCACGGATTATCAAATAATAGGTGCATATCAATGAATGGACCAAATCACTTCAGTCCCTGGCTCCCTCATGCAATTATTTCCTATTCACATTAATTATTGCTAACAGATGACATTAATGACTTTGAGAGGAAACAGACCATGGCAGCCCTGCCAACGATCAATGCTTTTTAAAATGGGATCACAACCCTTTTGACACCTTTGGGTCCCTTTTGATTGGAAATGGCACCAATACAAACAGCATCAGTAGTGTGCCAGCAAATAACATTTAGGGAACATACTGAGCTACTCGAAAAGTGGACATCAACCATAAGGCGAGGAATGAAAACACTGGTCTTTTCAAATTGGGAATTGTACCTTTGCATTTTTCAGCGCTTTGTGATAGTGTGCAACTTATCAAAGTCAGGATTGACATGAAAATAATTTTGAGTAAATGATTATCTTTTGAATGAAACATAAAACGTATTTTTATATAGTGCAGGTTGTATTTGGATCTAAATCATTTAGTAAGTACTGCGTTTTTTAGTACTTACTTGGTTGCATGGTTACATTGGTTGTCCATGCCAGTTTCTATGAGCAAGCAATAAACATTCAAAACGAAAAGCTAAATAGTTGACACACAATTGTGTTTGGTTATTTATGTTTTTGCTAACCTTTAATTTGAATAAATATTCTAAATGTATTAGAATATGCGGCAACGTCCTTATAAAGCTTTCACCGTTTATTTCAAAGCTATCATTGTGTCTCTTTAATAAAGGTATTTTGCATCAGCTGAGGACATTTTTTAACACAATAATATCAATATTGTACAATGTTCTATGAGATACTCCCAAAAATGTTTTGATGGTAAACCTGCAAGATCAGACAAACATGAAAACACAATGTACTTTACAACAAAGACCATCTGACAATTGGAGTGGAAAATGTCAGTCTATTCCTCAATTAGCCTCTGGTTAGACAGAGGCTAATGTAAGACACAGCCTTGTATTCCACATATCGTTTATTTGGGACCTGTGTCAGAGATAAATGGAGAGCCATGGGACATTATCATTGTCTAATTCCTCCAGACTGCAAAGGGGGGAATAATTAAACCATTTGTCACTATTGATCAACTGAAATGTATATCCTGCTAAATTGTCTCTTATTGACAACGCTTTGTTGATTTTAGCCTGCAATGATAGTTTTCACTGCAGCGTTTCTTTAATCTGGGTTGATTTGTTGCATCACTACTGATTTTCCAGGAGGTGCAAAGGAACGGAAAGGCATGTGTTGCTGCGGGGAGGTGGCCCAGCCTGCTGAGTCTAACGTGCCCACGAAGCAGCGGTAGTGGCAGTGGCAGTGAACTGTCTCTATCCAGTGCTTGTAGCGAGCACTCCAGCGGCTCCCACACCTGGGCAGAGGGACGTGGATTCTCCAAGCAGGTGGGTTTCATTCATCTTCCTTTGATTTAAGAACAGACACGATGTAAAGTTGTCATCTTCATGGCGTGTCAGTGATCCCTCTGTAAACGGCATGTTCAGTAATTGCATGATAACATGATTTGTATTGCACAGTGTGCTGCGAGCCGGGACAAAAGGATGAGCACGGGCTCAGTATCCAGCAACCGCTCGGCACCCATCGAGCAGGCAGACCTGGGATGGAAGGAAGGCCACATTCTGAAAGGTCTGAAGCGCCTCCAAATGTGCGGCTCCAAAGAGGCATCCTCAAACGCGTCGGTGCCTCACTGTAAAGACTGTATGACTTCCAATGAGGGAATATACTCGTTTGGTCTCAAGTGTGGCCAACAAGGGAATACAAACAAGCAATTAGCCCCTACAAGTAAATCTTTGAAGGCGGGAGCAGTGATCACTGCCGTAGACTCATATGACGGCAATAACCAATCAACAAAATCACAAAGCAGCGAATCCAGTGACCAACCAACAAAAGAGCTTGTTTGCTTGCAGAAACTGGATGTCACAAGGGATGATGACAACAATTTTCAAGAAGATCCTGTAAAACTTGCAGGGAATTCTGGTCTTTTTCCCTCACCTGTCACAGACAACTTCTTATTTTTAGAGGGCCCCTCAGTAAAACCTGGTGTGAGCCCAACAGACAGCCTTACGCATTTGGAGGAAAAAAACAAGACCACCAGCATGAAGTTAAGCGACAGAAACAATAACCAGGAAAGGTCAACTGACCGTAAATCCAGACTTGATCATGTCAAACGACAACAGGGCAGACTTGAGGTCGAAGCAGATACAAATGACGTGAGCTCCTTTATTCAGCACTCTGCCACAAGCGCCCTGAGCTACGTGAGTGTAGCAAGACAGCGCAGCTCCTCGATGGAGGTCCGTCACTGCAGAGACCAGGCGAGTCAAGCTGGCAGTGAAAGCCGGGACTCCACCGTGGCAGAATCTCCACAGAGGAAACCGAAACCTCAACTTTGCGACTCAGCAAGAAAGGCTTTCATTCTGCGGAGTAAAAGTGCAGATGGAGGGAAAGAACAATCTAAGCAAACACATTCTCCGCTCCATCAAAAACTTATTAAGGGCCACAGGTCCAAAGGACAGTCAAACCCTCCTGGCCAAAGTGTTCCAAGCAAAAGCACAAATCTCAGTAAAACGCATTGTTCACACAAGGGTTCATTATCTAAAGTTGAGAAAGATGAGAACCCTTTGGTGTCATCAAGTTCCAAGTCTCTTAAGAGTGTGCGCTCTCCCCTAGCTTCCCCTGTGAAACATTCAAAGACATTTAAGCCACCAGCGATCAATGAATGCTCAAAGAGCCCAACAAAATCATCTCTGCAATCAAGCAATGAGTCTGTGGAAGAGAGCCTCTATGACAACTTACCCTGCTCGCCACGAAAACAACGCCGCCAAGACCAGCACTGTGATGTTTCCCACTCGGAAGGTCGGTCCCCGTCCCCACCGCGGCCCCCAGGTAGAACTACTTCTCTGGTCCTTCGGCCCAGTTGCGACAGCTTGCCCAGGGCCCATACATCTGCAGGTCAGACGCAAAGCTCTATCACTGGGAAGACAACATCGAGCACCACCAGGCAACAATCATATATTCCCTCTATTTTACAGCCACAACAATCCAACTCACCAAATGATAATCAACATTCAGCCCCACAACTGGCAGCTGATGGTATGAAAGAAATCCCAGCCAAGCTCTACCATACCCATTCATCCAAGATGCCATCCGTCTCTCTTCAAGAGTCTTTGGAGTCAGTCCAGCTGTCGATGGACAGATCCGCCACCGGTCTTGATGAACACGGTGCTTCTTCTATATTTCCAAGTCAGAGCATCTTACAGCGATCCAAACAGAGCATTAGTGAGCCCAAACTCTCAGATGTATTCCCCCAGGCATATTCTAAGATGTACTACCATGGGATTACCAATAATCCTCAGAGTTCCACCTCAAGACCTGTAAAAATGGCTCTCCCTGCAAACGCCAAATCTCATGAGGCAATTTCTGCACAGGAAACAAGTTCCTTCCTGGTTTTTGGAAGACATGACAAAAATGAAACAAACTCTGCTGCAAAAGGCATGCACACATTTCAGACTTTTACATGTGATCCCCAGATGATACATGAATGTGGACATCATGGTAAAGTCCGCAGAAAGATTGAGACCCGCTGTAACTCACTGGATTCCGAGGCCCCTGTTCAACCTGTTGCATCGGACAGTGGTGTGATGCTGGATTGGGGTTTTGATGAGGAAGGTTGGCTGTTTAAACGTTCAGTATCCGTGTCGACCAGACCTCCGCTCAAGCCAGTAATGGGAATGAATGGGGCCAAGGCTCGCAGCCAGAGCTTTGGTGCGCGCTACATGGACAGGCCAAGCTTCAACAGATCTGGAAAGGTCCGAACCCAGATCAAAACACACTCAGGTAGCTCCTTGAACTCTCTGAGTGACGTGCTTCCGGGAAGTATGAGTTGCTCCAGCAGCTACCATTGTCCGATGAATCGATCCCTTTTGAACAACTTTTTGATCGAAGAGGGCCTGACACCACCTTCACATTTGGGGTCGTCCAGTGAAAGACTCCAGAGTCTTAAACTCCAGCGAGAGCAGGCTCGACGCCTTCAAATTGAGCAACAGTTTTCAAGCGCCTTTGGCGAGCCAGTTTCTGAGGAACCAGAGAGACAAAGTTCTATAACCACAATTGAAGAGAAAGTGATGCTCGGCATAGAGGAGAACCTGCACAAGTCTCAGGAACAGGAGAGAACCATTGAAGTGAAGCCAAAATCAAGCTCAACTTTGGCAAATTGGTTTGGTTTTCGTAAGAGTAAGCTTCCCGCTCCAAGCAGCAAAAAGACTGATCCACCCAAAGTTAAAGAGGAGAAGAGGGAGCAAAAGATTACATCACTCCTGGGAGGAAAACAGACCAAGTCTGATAAAAAGAGAGACAGAAGAAAAAGTGATGGGAAAGACTGGTAAGAAGTTCTTATAATTATAAGTGAATGCCATCGTTTGACACTTTTGGACTTTCATTGATTTTTCATTTCAACATTAAACATTCGGTTTTGGTTCAAACAGATTTTCAAAGCATATTGCCCTTTAATACCTCAGGTTACTACGAATCTAAGTCATCTAGACACATCTGCAAATCTCCTTAGCCCAGAGACCAATTGAGACTCATTTCATTCAAAGATTTCAAGAGATATTGGGTCATTTATTTAGCAAGTTGTCAGCATCAGAGGATCTCAGTGTATAGTGGAATGTTGACAAACGATTCTCTTTCAGCTCTGTGGGGATAAGAGAGTCTCACGATGCCGTGCGGGCATGCATCTCAATGCCCTGCCCAGGAATGTCCCTGAATGAGATACAAGGACATTCTGACGTCATCGGGGACCCGAAGGTAAATTTCCCACAACAAAAAAGGCCAGTTATATTATTTATTTATCAGTACTTGTAATATTTATTTAAAAAAAAAATAGAAAGTAGGATCAAATGAAAACAGAAATACACCACATGACTGTCGATACATGTGAATTACCCCAGGCTGATTTCAACAACTCGGTTTGTTTTTTATTCCTGTTTTTGTATTCTCAAACCTCTTACACAAAGTTTCATCATTTAAGCCTTCATTATCAAACCTTGTTTAAAGACATTTTAAATAATTTTGGCGTTGGAGTCTATTTATTTATCGAAAGAAGTGACCAACAAGTTTTAGATTTAGATTTAGATTAGTGAAATTAGAGGAAAATAAGAAAAAACGCAAACAGAACATGAGGCCTTTTTATTAATTTGTCCAGCAACGAACATTACAGTCACGGTTATTTGACACTGTACAGGCAAAAGTATGAAAGAACATGCAGGTAACTTCCCTTTTGAATTTCTACAAAAACACTGCAGATGGTCAACCTGAGAGCTGATGGTGACAATGGATCCACAGTGAAGAGACCCAACCAGGATGCTGTGATAGGTCAGATTTTTCTATTCTATGTGGTGAAGTCATAGAAATTAGTAAATCCTCAGCAATTTTAGCCGGCTGGCATTAAGGATTTATCTGTGCTTACCATTCTACAGTTTGCAGACAGAAGTGAAGACCAAATATGAAAGATATGTGTAAGTCATAAACATGATGAACATGCTACAAACAGTCAAACAAACATGCAAAATGCTCAATTTTGTCAGTGTGTGCTTCTTCCTCCATATTTCTGTTAAATTGATTTGTTCTACTTCTGCATTTGTTTATTGTCTTTGGTGGCGGTTTGAATCAAGGCAAACAGGAACCATTGCATCACAGTTGTATTTCACTCAGAGTTTGCCTCTTAATGGGGTCCGCTCATCTTCACAGATCCATGCACTGAACGTTTGCATGCAGTGGCTCATCCATTCAGTCCAAGCTCCTTCTTGGTGTTTTTGTGTGGGCCACATTGATTTGAGAAGATTGACTGGACGGTTCCTGCACCGACCTCCACTTGAGCTGTGTTGTCACATGAGGATGATGTTCAAGGGGTTTGAGGAGGGAATTATCCTTTGTACAGCGCTGCCTTTAATTCACGTTTCAAGTCTCCTCGATTTTTGACATATTAATTAAATTGTGCAAGTGTTTGGTAGTATGCAACCCATTCTGTTTACACGTATTACATGTATAGGGATTTTTCAAAAAAAACTTCCATGGTTGGTCTACCTAAACAACTAAAGTACCTGGTCTAGGACCAGATGTTTTTGTTTAGGTTTAAGAAATGATGATGCCTTGGCTTAAGTGTAATTGTAACTCGGAATAGTTAATTATGGAAGTTATGCAAGTCCTTGGTGTAAGTCCTGTGAAGGCTCCGTAGTCCAAACTCAACACTCCTTTCAGCATTGACTAGGAAAATAGTGCTCCGGGTCAATGGGATGAGTTTTGCAGCTGTTGAAAATTCAAATCACTGCTGGTATGAATGTAATTGCTTTTAAAATTCGCTGGCAGGTTTATTTTTACAGGAACCACCTTTGACCTAAAAATACAAAAAAATCAGAGGTAGCAGTTGGAACACTTTTTAGGTCAATCCTTACACTCCAAAATATACACAGAGACCCACTTAGATGTTCTTGAGTTAAGTAGGGTCCCATTGTATTGACCTCACCCTTCGCTAGGAGACTGGCCCATCATAGAGTAAATAAACCAGCTACAACAACTATCCTGCTCTAACTGCTTAATGACACTCCATCAGAACATATTCATCGTCAGGCTGGTTTATTGGATTATGTGCTATACATGGTTAAGTGTTTGGAAACATTGATATTATCGCCCAGAGAGGTTGTCATTCATTTTGCTGAGGCCCATTTGCCGCTCAATGACACTCTGGTGCAAATGTGATCTCTCACGGTCACACTGACCAACACACACAAGTTCCTCTCCCCTTGCTATTAAGTGCAGCTACAGATGGAAAGTCACAAAAAGATGGATGCAAAGACTGAAACCAGACAAGAGGTAAAACACTATTTGGTCATTGTGTCGTTGCTGTCACTTCGTAAATTGAAAATAAGGGCAGATAAACTCACAAAGTTGTTTAGGTGGAGGACGCTGACAGGCCCTGCTGTAATTTCCGTGGCCAGAGTGAGACCAACAACAGGGCCCTGCGTGTCTGTTTCGGGCGAACGTCGGCCCTTTGGGGTTAATTACCTCATTAACATTTCAGTACCTCACCAGTTAAGCACGCTCACCCAAGCCACCGCGTGAATTGAGTTTGCCTTCAGCTGTGACTTGAATTAAACTATCCAAGATTGGCTTGAACGTGTTGGGCCTCATGAACAGTTGAGTAGTTTTTAAACTTGATACTTGAAAATAACAATACGGTCTGTAGTTTAAACCCTGTAGCAAGATTTGTACATCTGTGACTATTTCAGGTATTCTCATCAAATTAGAATTCTTGTTCTTCTCTCTTATTTTAAAGGAAGGTTGTGCCCCACAGTAATGAGGAAGCAGAACAAAAGCGCTGTAGGTTTGTAGGCTAGACGGCTGATCAGCAAGTCGGCCCTTTGAACATGTTAAAGGGACTTCTGCAGTGTTGCTTTGTAACAGGTATTGACTAAGCTCGGCATAACGGAGAGGAGATGTGATGTGAGGAGGACAACAACCTCACCGCGCATGTGAAAGGCTTACTGAAAACAATCATTTCGCAGCCTCTGTGATTCTACCTTTCCAGGGGAGGCTGAGTCACAGCGGTTCTTGCTAACTTCCTGCTAAAGACCAGACTAATCAATAGTGTCTCTGTTCGGTGTCTTCTCAATTCTCAATTTGTTCCTGTTGACAACGGGGTTAGAATGCCCATTTCGATCTCAAGCCCTTCTTCCCTAACCGATCAAGATACTTTTTGAAGCATGGAAGTAGCATTAATTATATAAAAACAATTACCAATTACTATGATTGTATTGCATTGCGTGACCTTGTCTTAGGACTGTGTTTTAATGGCAACAAATAGCTCCAACTTCACTTTTTCCATTTTTGCCCTGAGGTGCCAAATTATAAAAAGTCAATTCTTTTCAGGACAAAACAAAAAGGGGGAAAAATGAACTTGTATCCCAGAAGAGGGGTGTAAGGCCTTAATTAATAAAGGGGGAGCAGCTGTTGCCTTTGCTCCAGAGTGAGATTGCCTGCAGGGTCTTGCCACAGGGAACACGAAACATGAGCCGGCATGACAACAGCTACAGGAGCTCTTTTTGAAAGAAAATGTGTTTTGTAAGCTATGCGATTCTCTGCATTCAAATATAAATGAGACAAACTCCATGTATTTGAAAATGTGTTATGGTTTATTAGCGCAAGAATGGTTTTATATAACGTGTAATCCTGGAGGCACAAGGTGAGACTTTTGATCCAACAATGCGAAATGTGCATCTTTGATCTGAAAGTTGAGAAACACATATACAACATAACTATGTATGTTTGGGCGGTTATGTTTGATATGTTGCAAACAAAATACACACATTTGTAGTGTATTTAAGTTTCATTTCAATTGCCATTCCGTGCCTTCAACATTCACAGTGTGATCAATGCATGCTAGTAGTCACACGCCCATCAAACAACATCTGTGATGCAAAAGAAGCGCTGGGCTTGAGTTTTATCGACCGAGTTGTCTTCTGTGACGGTGCTACGTGTATGGAGTAATTAGCAGCATCATTACCCAACCTCACACATCTGTATTTGGATAATATCCATGATTCTATTTGAAAGGAAGCCATTGCCAAGCATGACTAGAAAGAGCAAGCAACCAGACCATCCATGAGCAGGATAGAATAGGTTGGTTTAGCTGCCCATCAGTTATCATTTACAGCCCAGTCAAAAATGGTTGGCATTGTCAATCTTTCTCCAAACCACTGATGTTTGCATTAGATCTGAGCAGGTCATACAGCGTATTTATGCGACCATTATTGAAAGGGATGCTGTTTAGTAACAGGCATAACCAGCCAGACAGTCCATATGCCTTTTGGCAACACTTCTCGTCCCCTGTGGAATTCATTATTTTATCATCCTCAGCTGTAATGTAACAATTAGTTCTGTTGCTTGAACCAGCCCCGTTGTTTTGCAACATTAACTACCTGTAATTGTGCGTTACTGTAAGCGCGGAGCGAGGTTAATGTGACACATGTTTATGACTCTTTTTTGAAGTTCAGAAACGTCAGCGTTGAATGTAGACTGTGGGTGCAGAAACATACAACGCCAACTCTTTTTCTGACGGCTGGGACGTTGTCCATGAATGACAGTTTAATATCCATTTGGAACAACTTTAGACCGTCTGTCTTTCGAGATTCCCGACCTTCAATTATTCTTAGTGAACACATACTACACACTTCATGGTTACCCTGTTGTTTCATTCCTGTTGTCCTTTTTCCCACGACCCTGAGCCACTCCGACTGTTCTCCTTGTGCCGCAGGCTCCGGCTGCGAGATGCGAACGTTGGACAGTGGAATTGGGACCATCCCTCTTCCTGAATCCTGTTCCTTCTTCTCCTCCATCCTGCACCTCCTCCCCAAATCCTCATCGAACCATGAACAGTCCCTCAGTCCACCCAGTGTCCCTGGTTCCTCCAGCGAGGACGTGTCTCCTTCCCCGTTACCCCGGTGGAGAATCCCCTCCAGCTTTAAGGACTGCAGCCTTGCAGGGGTGCCAAACTCCTTCTCCAACTCCTCTATGACCCATCTCCAGTCAGTGCCTTTCCCCTCTGTGGCCTTCCTCCAGCCAGTCCATCCCCAATCTGAACCCATTGTGACCTCTGTCCGTGTGTGTGATTCCCAGAGCAGGCTACCCAGACTTCCACCAGGTACAGTAAAGCCACGCAGGCTTCTGCCAGAGGCACGTTGGGTGGGTTGCTGAAGTTAAAAGGATGCTCGTAGGGTTTTCTCCTTCCTCTTCTACTAAACTCATAGATCAAAAGAAAAAGTTAATAAAAAGGGTAGAAGTTTGGATGGACGGTGGTGCACCCGCAGGTCACAATTACAAATGCGTCACTTTTCAAGATGCTTTAGACGTCACACAAATCTTCAGAATGATGATCTTGCTGTCTTTGAAGATGTCAGACGTCACCCTGTGTCATTCATTTGACTCCTCTTCTCCTTCTCCTCCCCCTCCTCTAAGTCTCTCTTCTGTCTGACTGCTGTGAAAAGCTCTGAACTGAGTTTCACTCTGTTTGTTTCAGGTGGGTTGGAACCAAAGAAGTTGACTTACATCAAATCGAAACCACGAGCCCCTCCAAGTCAACAGAAAGAGCAGACAAGACTTCAGCTGGCCAACTGTAAGTCACTGTGGTTTATTAATAGGTTATATTCTGTGTCCGCTTACCAATTTTCCAGTGCCATGTTCAATTTACTTCCAACAACACTATACTGTTGATATCACCATTACTTGTTATTTGAGGTGCCCTGCGTTCAGTGTAAAGTGTTGGTGACTTTCTTAATAAAAATATCTCTGTATGCGCAGCTCACATAAGAAACGTATTTCCCGGTGAACAAATGAACAAATATCAATTGCATTTTAAAAAACAATCTAGAAAATTCTGAGTTACTTTTCTTAATGTGGTGGACGTTTTATGTTGTTTGCAGGATCTCACTCTGCTCTCTGCATCTTCAGAGTTTCTGAGCCATCCTGAAGCAAGAAATCCATCAATCAGTTGGATTTATCACTGAAACGCACATGGAGGATCCCCCAGTCACACCGTTCCCACAGCTGGACAACACCTGAGCGTGGCATTGCGGGCTTCCACCTGCGCTCAGTGCCGTGTTGAAATACTGAGTTGCCTTTCAGGTGTGTAGTGAACCTTCCGGAAGCCATTTTGAAGAGCTGCGTTGTCATCGGCATCAGCTGGGAGCAGCTGGTTCGAATTTCTAAATGTGAAGCTGTCCTGTCCTCACGGGACTGGAGGTGAACACACAGCTATTTTTCTTGACCTTTTTCTTTACTCCGAGGAGTAACAATTTTCAACGTGTGAACACACCGTTCATACTTCCATAAGCAAAACATGGAAACATATGACAGCAAATGTCTCATATATTTGCTTTTTCAACGTAGTCTTAAAAACATAAAATGTGGATTAGTGGAGAGAACAAATGCTTAACAGAATGTCTGACATAGCAAATCACATCCTATCTGATAATGTTTCCCTTTGGTGACTGTGAGGCTGAACAGCCAATACAATGAGCCGAAAGAGGCTAAAAAACTAAATTCGATTCCATATTTAAAAACTTTTTTCAAGAAATGGTTAATCCAGGTTTAAACATTTAATAAACTTTGCACAAGCACATGCAGTTCATCACCAGACTTCCATTACGGCTCCAGCTGTGGCAACTTTTGGAGATTAATGATGCAAATTAAAGGCCTGAACTGCAATCCTGCTGAGCATGGATTCTTTAGTTACATGTTTTTGCATTCCCCGCCAATGTATAAACATTTAAATACAGGTTTATGGAAAGATCTAATTCTGATTTAGATCTCATAAATATGTAAGCTACAAGGAATATGTCCGTTGTTTATTTTGCAACGGAACCTAAAAAACTCAAGATCACAAACCATGACTTCAATCCTGAAGGCATTTTATGTACAGCACTTACTACTGATTGCCATTCATGAGCTCTATACCTGACTTAGTAATGTGATACTTTGAAGCGTGCACTATTTTGTTGGAAACTTTTTTTACTGTCACAATGTTGATATCACCTCGCATGCAACCATCCAAGACTTATTCCAACCACAGAAACACATCGTATGAATCTGACTTCCATCATGTGAGGAGTTTCATCACAAGAAGTAAAAAATACTGATTACCAAAACGTGATGTCCACAAAAAAAATAATATTATCATTACTTGGGCAAAGACCTTTTTAGAATATCATCGATCGTGGGTCTCACTGTCACGCATGAAAATACTTGTGATAAGTGTCACAGTGTGAAAACGGTGCACATTGGGTCGTGTCATGAAACTCACATATGTTCTGCATTCTGTATTTCTTACATATTTCCACAGTTATGACGTCAAGACAAAGCAGTGCGTTTTGCATGTAACCGTAGCACCTGGTAGGCACATTGTGGACATTGTTGTGCTCGCTCAGGGACAATACCATTTATTTGTCTTTGATAGATGCTGTGGATTTAATAAGTTAACTTCAATTTTAAAATGTACAACCATTACATTGCAACCAGAGAGCCAGCCCAGTTTCTAGAACAAAGTTGTAAGTTTGTGTGAACCAGGGATACGTTGAATGCATTCGGTGGTGATGTAGAGCAAAGTGTAACCTGGAGAGCAAGTGTTTTTTGCTGTTGTTTAATTATCAACAATTACCCTTTTTTCTACCTTAACCAAGTAGTTTTATCGGCAAAACCTCACCAGTTGATTCACAACGTCAATCTGCAAGTGTAATACGAGAATGATGTGAAATGTACAAAACGCATTTTGAAACCTGACATTCAACGTATCCCGTAGTTTCCAGAAATGTATAACACAACATTTATTCCTGCGACTGGGTTGAGTGAACACAACAGATTTCATTGTACTGCGATGGTTTAATACCTGAACACAATATTTTCCTGCTGTTGTTTGTGTCAGTACATTTGCCTGTAAAATACCTCACCAGTTTCTCTCTCTATTTTATATGCCGTGTCTTTTATAGTAATGTTTTCGGTGTTTTGAATGCATCCCGACATATTTGATGCTTTTAGCTGCTTTGCAATGTTTTTCCCTCTCAACTTTGTTTGTTTGGCTTCCTTCCCCTTTGTGCATAAATGTTTGCCAAAATGCATATTGCCAAACACTGCTCTGAGCTAATCATATACAGAAAATGAATGCAACTAAATCTACATATCACATTTGTCATGGTGACTGTAGCAATATTGTTTTCCACACTCGACAGTTTACGCTGTCACGTGATGTAGAACCATGTAGCACTGTACCGTTGCACAATATCATTAATCATGTCGTCTAATTTACCTCTTTGAATCTTTACTCATTCACTACACATATATGTTGAAGGTAATATTTATAAACTTGAAGGAAAGTTCATGCCAATAGCATCACACAGGTTTAATGACTGAAATATGTAGCGTACGCAGGTGAGACGAGGTGTTGATGGATCAGGGAACAGATTGGCTGTACTGATACGGGTAGATTGAGCATGGCGTCTGTGTTTTTCAAAAGGCTCACATAATGAAGAGTCTCACTCTCACAAGAGTATTGTATTTTTCTAACATTTACCCTGTATTTTGATTTGTACTCAGCACTGATGGGTGTTATTTACTATTTATTACACATATTCTTACTTACTATTACAGTTATTCTCCCTCTAGATGTTTTTTTTTTGTTCAGAACCCAATAATAACAGTGGAGTTCTTGTGTGACAGTCACCTTAGCAGTACGGATTGAGAATTGTATATAACTGATATTCTTTGTTTTATGTAAAAGAAGAAAGAAAAAAATAAACTATTTCAATACTTATACGACGTTACGGGTTCAGCCATTTGGTTTGTTGTATCTCAGTGAACTCACGTGGCTATAAGATGCAACAGGTATGATTGTCGTGCAAACAGGCTGCAGCGTTTCCTCCACTCCCGAATTCCCGCCAAGGCTCTACTCTTGTATCCACAATGGAGATTCTATTAAATTAAAAGTAAACAATTTGCAGAATACCAGCTGAGGTGTCATGTGCACTCGACCAAGGCTTCTCCGGCTGGAGGCAAACTCAGGCTGAGCTGCCAAACAGGGTTGTCACATGAAAACTAAAATGAAAAAGCAACAGCTGACTTTGCTCTCTATTTAAGGGAGAAAAAAAGAATTAAAGTGAAATTGCCTACAAGCACCTGAACAGATCGCTAAGAAAAATGTTTTTTTTTGCAGTTTAATTTGTAGAGACAAATGATTTGCAGCCTTACAACCCTGTTACAAAGTAAATCGGCCTGCATGGGGCTAAACCTTACATTTTAAATTGTTTCTCTTTCGCAAAACAGATTAATAGGATCTGTTAATAGACACATTTAGTTTTTACCTTTAGACAGAACACACATGAGTGTGGTACGTTTTTGTATTTCACTAAACGTAAAATATTCCTTAGACATGAGTGCCACCACACATTGTTCGCTATCCGTTTACACTTTTAGGCAAATGAGAAGTGAGCACGGTGCCTTGATCAAGTGTATTATTGTGTGCAACTGTGCAAATCTTCCCGGGACAGTTATTGTCCCTATGAATTTATTAGCTGTAAAATGTAACTACAAAACTAAACATGGTTCCAAGGGAGCCGACAGGCTCGGCTGGACTGATTGAGCGGGTGGAAAAGGCTGCACGGACGCTGAATCAGACGCTTCTTAGAACAAAGACAAAAAAACATTCCAGAGGAAAAGGCCTCAAATCAATTAGTGTCTTCCACTTGTTTTTCTTCTCCTCTGAGACCTGATTGCTAATCAACAACATGGTCCACAGAAATGTTGTCGAGGTCGCAATTAAATGTTTTATTTCCATGCATAAGCGCAACACAATTAAAAAAACATGTATATATTGTAGGATATTAGAAAACCGACGGTTTTCACGGTTTATAAAATTAATAAAATGCATATAGTGTACACCAGAATACAGCCATGATTCTGAAACTGTGTAATCAATAAAGTAATGACAATATTGTAAAACCACTGTAATTCTGCAACTGTAATAGAATAATATCAATACAGTTATGATTGTATTTGATGTAATGTAATCAACTGGAATGCCTGCATGTAATACTTGACCAACAACTGATATTGACTGAGGATCATTCGAAATCCGAGTTACATTGAACTCACCAGAAGACCACTCCCAGAGGTGTGGACACTGACTTTCACACCTTTAAGCATTGTTATAAATACCTGTAGGAACCATTGTTCTCGGGTTCGCTGGTGGAGGTGACAGACGGGCACTAGGGATGGTCAAAGGACTGACCTGGGGCCTGTTCTCAGCTGAGGTGTTCTTTTTATCACAACACCATCTCTTTTCTTAAATAAATTTGATTTAACCTTTTGATCAGCGATGACGTCTGTCCGTCCAGCGTTTCTTCATTTTTGAACACAACGATATCCGTCTTCTGTACATATTTTGACTCATATTAAAATTAAAAATAGGCTGATACTTGGTAGAGGCCTGAGCCTTTCTAATTCTGACTATTCATAATAATTCATCCTTTAATTCACATTTTTATGAACCCAGATCTTCTCATATCTGGATTATGATAACTGATCAGTCAGAGAAGAATATTCAGAATGTTTACTTAAAAAAGAACAACTTGAACAACAGAAATAGGATTTTTAAATGTGAGGCAGACATGTCACCCTTTCCCATCGCCAGTGAGCATTATTTCTTTCTCCTCGATGACAACAAAGAACCTTAAATATATTGTTCTTCTTTCACCTTCCTGATGCTTTATGATTTTTTCTATGATTTTATGGTCAGGCATCCTGGTTTAGTGTTGCTGTTATAAAACGCTCTATGCATAATGCTTCCCTGTGTGCCATCAGTCATGTTAGGACACCTGTCTCGCAGCAGCTTCCACAGGGGGAAGCTACAGCTGGTGCACATTAAGCTGAACTCTCCTAAAGGAAGTGGTGCTCTCACTGCTGATGCCTGACTAAGAGTGTGTTTCGTTCAAGTGCATAAAAAGTAAAACTCTCAAACTGAGTCAGTCCAGCCGTTTTCCTCATATACTGAACCATATTTAATTCTGAAAGCTTCAATGGCTTCCCATCATGTCCTTTACTGTCATACTGTGGTGTGTGTGTTAATGAGTATTTGTTAATGTGCAATTGTCCAAGTTCCATTCAAGCTGATTGCACAGTGAGTCCCAAACAACTTCCCCGTAACCTCTTGATGGAGCACTGACAACCTGTTACTAATTGAAACAGCTTGCTCACGATGACTCTCAATTAAACCTTTGGAGTTCTAAAACAGGATTTAGACAAAACGAAATCCTCTAATCAGCACCAACACCCGCACGGCGGCTAACCTTAGGGAACGGAAATGGTGAAGCGTGGCGTTGGCCCCGTATGATAGTCCACGCTGGACAGCACTGAGAGACTAATTCATCTTTTGAATATGTGAAGGAGCATCTAAAGGGTTGCAGGCGGTGTTATTAGTAAAGTGCCTCCCTTCTCAGAGCTTTATAGCTGAACCATTCGTAGGGCAGTACACCAGCACACGGTCTACGCGGTCTGCAGTCATTTCCTCAGGCACATGATTTTTTTATGATTTGCTCGTAAAAAGCGGCTGAAAATCCACAAAATCCAAGTTAACCAAACACAGTGAGTAAACTCTTGTCCAATCAGAAGGATCATGCCAATTTATTCAATATATTTGATGGGTCAAAGGGGGCAAGGAGATAAAACTGACGCATGGCAATATAGTGATATTCTGCAATGAAATTATTGATTGGGGACTTTGAAGGTGAAAGCATTGAATCTGCTGTTAGTTTAATTTCTGCAAAATGACAGACTATAAATGAAGATAAAGATTCCTCATAAAACGACTTAGAAGGGTCGGAGGAGCAGAAATGAATGCCTAAGCTTCTTCATGACTCTTCGTGATACTTTATTCATTTCGGTAGAGTGATGACGGAATGAATCCTATAAAGTAAGTTAGTGCATCTTGGCACTTTTACTTCTCTCGTCCCAAAGTCATCCTGTTTTTTTCGAGTGCGGTTTTGGTTAAAAGACTGAAATAAGGTCCGTGGTCAACAAAAGCTTTAAATCTTAAAAGTGTTCAACATTTTAGTGGAAAGTGGTGTGCTGACTTACTGGTTGGCCCTACAAAATTACATCCTTTTTTCATCAAAGGGCGAATCAGTTTGTTGCAGTAGCAGCTTTAAAAAAACATTTTAACATGGCATAATGTTGAATGCCCATAATAATACTAACAATCACAATATACAGAAAGATCACATGTTGGGTTGCTTGGCTTTGCACGGGTCACATGGTACACATGTGATCCGTGCGTCAGCGGCGGATGGAGGTGAAGCTTTGGCGCACGGTGCCAGTCTGTGCGCCTCAGACCCGACGAACATCCGAACATCTCTCATGTTGGTGCTGCGCGTCCCACTGAGCGGACCATGCGGCTGTTCACCGTCTCTACTCTGCTGCTGATATTCCTCAATGCAGGTAAGGACTGCCGGCTCCTCGTTCCAATCACTTCACGGGATTGAAGGGTGATTTGCAGACAATCGTTCGACATTTAAAAAACTTAGTTGTATTTTTTGGGAACGTGTTGGAGCGATGCGCGCGGATCCATCGTTATCCATGAAAGTTGAGCGGATTTTGTGATAGTGGCTGTGTTTCTGATGAGGAGAAAGTGACGATGAGGATTCGCTTAAATTAAAGTACCGATTGCCACACAATTATTTTTGACACCCTTACGAGTTCGGTGTGGCGCGCGCTCATGTGCGCGTGAAACAATTGAGGTAAGTTTTCCCAAAAGGGAGTTTAAACAGCAACGTGTCAGCTGATTTTGACCTTTTCTTCACCAACAATGACCGACAATCGTATCTGTCTGAGTAGTGGTGAAGGGAGAGCATTTGGTTGAGTACAGATTCATTTCACACTGAAACGTGATGGAGGGAATAAGATAACATGTAAAAAGTGCCATCCCTGTGCTTATGTAAAGGTACTTATTCACATCCCACTGCTGGAAATGTAACTTGTGGACCAATAGATGTTCATCATTTTGAGCATAAAATATATTCTTCATGTCTAAACCTTGCCAACTACATTTTTAAATCGTAAATCAGTAAACCTAACATGCATTCTCATTTCTCATTTATGTTTTTTAAAAGTCCCTCTTAATCAGTTTTGAAAATATTGAGATACTTGACACTGATCTTTTGAAAAAATAATGATTGTTCGCCAAAATTGGCAAGAGTCAGAATCAGGGTCAAAATGGGTGGTCAATGCATTTGGGACTTTGGGGAATCACTATTGATTTATGGAAAACCGTTCAGCCATTCACAACAATTTACACTTGATACAGCTTCTTCACTATAATCATTGTCAGTTTTTCATTTGAAAATACTGAAATATCGACGATCAAAGACAGACGTCATGAAACGTTTCATCCACACGCTGCAAAAATGAATGTACCGCCAGCAGCTCCAATTCATCTGAATAATTGAGCCAGTCCGTCACGAGTGCATATCCGAGAAAATGTAAACTGAATTTTACTATCACTCAAAAATTAATAAATCAATTTGTGACCCGGAGTTAAAGAAACGTGTATTGTAGGATTCTATAGATGCTATAAGTAAACGAAACTTATGTATGACATGGAACTTCCACAGATGATTACATTACGACAAATATAATGGTTAAATATTTAATATTAACAAATGAGACCTTATCTACTGTTATCTTAAATATCATCAAAACACAATTGATTAATGCATAAAAGACTATCTCCCTAATGTGTGTGTGTGTGTGTGTGTGTGTGTGTGTGTGTGTGTGTGTGTGTGTGTGTGTGTGTGCGCGTGTGTGTGTGTGTTGCAGGGCTGGCTCTGCAGATCCAGTGCTTTCAGTGTGAGGAGGTGACACACGACTGCTCCACACAGGAGTTCATAGTCAACTGCACCGTCAACGTGCAGGACATGTGCCAGAAGGAGGTCCTAGTGAAGGATGATGGTGAGTCGCGTCACTACGGAAGCTTGTATTTCCTCTCCGCTGTTATAATTCGCTGCGTTTTCATCAGATCATATCTCAGCGCAGAAAAGTGTCCAGACAAATATGGACAGATCGATGCCAATAGAGTGGATTAGATTCAGGTGGTGGGATGGATCCGGGTGGATCTGAAGAATTGCCTTTGTTGTTCTGATGAAATCCATACAGCTCGAAGCTGAAGTGATGGGAGGGATGTCCACGTGCGGAACAGCTTGAAGTGAGTGTTCAAGCTGTTGGTGAGCAGGATCATTAGCAGTCACACCATTGGTTCATTGTAGTGTCCAGACACTTACATGTTCTCCTTTTTTATACTATCATGTTTCTCGACAAAAGGATATTTCAAAATGGTGCAAAGGAATCAGTTGGTCTCGCTTGCATAATTGCAATGTCCTTTAACACAAAGCCAAGGAAGGGCTCTGCAGCGTTCTCAGCAAGAAGCCAGGAAATCGAACCGATCTGAGGTCGGCACGCACATGAGCTTCAGAGCGCTGTAAGTGTCATTAAAGAATGAAAGCCGGTATTTGAAATGGAAGTCGTGAATATATACTATTCCATTTACCTGTGCGGAGAAAACCTACCAGCTCGTGCTGTTTATGTAATGGCAGGTGTGTGTCCTTTCTGTGTTATCGGGCCTTTCCAAAAAACTCAAACTCTGACAATTTATCCATGTATCGGCATTGGGGGAAATATTGGCCAATAAGCTGCAATGTTGATGTTTCTGATGTGAATCCTGAGATTTTGCACGTTGCATGTTAAAATGTTCCAACCAGAAACACGGTCAAACCAATTTTCACGCAGGTGTGTGACTTGTTGTGTTGGTTTTACAGGCTTGTTCCTGCAACACACTTAAAGCTGCATCAGCCCACTTTTTACATGTCGATTGAATCCCTTGGCTGCGTGTAATGTGAAAGGTGTAAGATGTCCTGACAAACACATGATAATTACCTGCCACACTCTGCACTTCCTTGCTCTATGAAACATTTCCGTGTCTTTCAGCTATAATTGTTTTCGATTCTGCGGCTCGAAGCTTTTCTGTTTTGCGTCACTCTGACCACTTTCATTAACTTTTAATTTTTAGCAGAGACAGGCTTGTTTTTTTAACTTCATGGAGGTTGTTAGAAACATAACTTAACACAAACTTAATTAATGTTACGGCTGCTCTGTGTCTTGTGGATGTGTAGATAGGTAACTGCGTGCCTGTAAGTTAGGGGATAATATACCAATGTTTTCAGCTTGATGCGCTGTCCTCAAATGGCCAGATGCTCAACTCACTTGATTATTCAGAAGCGTACATGTTTTCTTAATTTGCAGTGCGCTGAGCTCTTAGGTCCACCGTACTTACTTTCATCCATCACATTCGGTGAAGAATTACAACCTCTGTGCATGCGGGTTAGAACGTCCATCAAAAACAATCTGCACATATCTTCGCCTCTGCTTTAGTTAGTAGTACTAAAGTTAGTACTTTAGTATTCTGGGGACGGTATTCTTCAGTCTATCTTGCAGGTTTCATGTGTTTTTTTTGCAGTGAAACGCCTTCTCTTTAGGATTAAATAAGGTGTCACTGTTACATCCCTATTTACTGCAGGTGGTCTGAATCCAGACACTAAGGGTTACTCTTATAACACAGGTCTCCTACACAGGTCTCCTTTATTTTTAAACCCTGCAAAAATTGTGGGTAATTTTCTCTCCTCTCCCTACGGCTGATGAGCAAAAGCAATAAGCGCCTGTCTTTGGAAATGTGGTACCCAATCCAAAGGGCAGGCACAGCGCACTATAGAGTGGACAGTTCTTTAATAAGAAAATCTCTGCATGAATGCTCATGTACATCCTTTACCTCCCAGAATAATCATCCTTGCTGGTCTGCACGAAAGAGGGTGTAGAAACCTGGCGCCACTGTGCAAGTTGCTCGGCTCATAAGAAGGAAATCTGTGTCGGTGTTTGATTCTTCCTGAGCGTACTTGCCCTGTGGTTGCCTCTCGGAGCCTGTGCTTTAACACGCAGCACCGTGTTGTATGTGTATCTAGGAAGGCATTGAACAATCCGTCCAGTCGGCCCTTTCAGATCGAGCTCTCCAGCTGAGAAAGATGATGGCTCGCAGAACTTTGAGGTGTCAGTCAGAAAGATCCCAGTTTAACCACGACAAGTCGAGACACAAGTATTCATAACCACCGTTCGGATGGAAGCTATTTTTCAGCAGGGCGGCATAAGACGAGCGCGGGTTCCTTTACATGCTCATCGCATATTCATATCACCATCATGCCCTCTGATTACGTCTTGAAGAATTATGAAGATAGTTTTTCTTTTACCTTAATGATGACTGTTCCTCTACCAAAGTCTGCAGGCCACCATTCATTGGAATGCCTCTGTTAAAGGAGGGGAAGTAAGATGTGATGAGGGATATGTAATGCACTCGGTTTCTCAGAGGCCATTTTCCAGTGTTTTCATTGAACATTGTTATTAGCTATTACACACACCAAAAAAGCATAGGATTAAAGAATTATATTAAATACATTATTTTTGCAAAAAAATATGTAATACCTTTGTATTTCTTACTGTCAGAAAAATATTTTTAAGTTATTAGTAAATGTATTTATGTCTATAACAGATCAAATGACAAAGCCATATTATCTTAACAGTCATTGTCTTGAATTATAGTTGTCTTCAGATTGGCAGCTCTACTCAACTTCTATAGCCGCAGCAGACAGATGTTTATTGCGAACAGCCGCAACAAACACCAGACCAAGAGAGTTAGCGACTAACTGGTTAGTAGTAATATTTTTCTCATGGGTTGTAAACAAAAACAGAGCTAAAAACAGGCCAAATAGCCTGTTGCTGCTCCTAAATAGCTTTGTGGAAATCATTGGGAGCGACACCTTTCACATTAGTCTTCAGAGGCGATTGATCATTGATATGAAAAACATTGACTGGTTAAACTACCCGTTTATGAGGTAGAGCAGTTAGCTCTGTTGTCAATGTGACTGTAGTAAATCACAACGAGCACTATCCCAGAACTTTATGCTAAGAAGACTTATAAATGACCTCGAGAGAGCTAATCGAGCACCAAGATGCTGAATAAAATTGTTGCGATGCTGCACAGACCCCAAAACGTGCTTTCAATTTTATGTTTAATGTCACCACAGATTACTTTGTCACAGTTGTGTGTCTCTGCTGTGTGTCCCACGATTTTACTTCACAGTGAAAATGTGTAATCATCACAGTATCCACAGAGGCGGCACACTTAGCGGAGCAGTAACGACGAGGCCGATGCATATTGTGATTCCTATCAGACGGCTCTGAAAGGCTGTCTGAAAACAGGAGTGCTTGTTTCGTCACGGAGGAGCTTGTTTTGCAGGTGATGCTGATTTTAGTTGATAAAGAGGATCGTGTTATGCCGTGTATGCTGTGATGCGTCTAGTTCACTACAGATGTGAGCTTTATTCCACCACCTGAAACTGCTGCATCTCATCTCTGGGTTGATGAGCCATCTGTGCTGTTTCAAGGGGCAGTGGTTCATTGCTGGAAACCAACATGAAAAAATCCAATTGTTTGATTGCTTTAAGGAAAAAATACTGGCAACAAAAGTATCAGGCATGCATGCTGATCAGGAGATGCAGATTCAGGATTTATTGCACAGTATAAATCCTCATAATGTCATCATTATTTTAGATTTATATGGTTAAATAGAGTGACTGTGCATGGCTGCTGAGGTTTGTTATTTTATTATTGTGGGTGAATGTACTTCTTAATTGTGCAATTGAAGAAAGCATGAATTATTGTTTCACTGACACAAGATACTGCATGTAATCACTGCAAATTGTGAACACAGAAGTTTATTTTGAAACAAGACTTGGAGTGGAGGTTAACTCGGCGTACCTGAAACATGGATGCTATAGGGGTACTGTTATACTTAAAGGCCGCTCACCCAGCATCGGTATTTGACCAGCTGGCAGTGAGAACATGTTAGTCAGACATGTATTTATTTATTCAAAAGGGGCAGCAAATGTAGCAACTCGGCAAAAACGTTTTGACTTCCATGTGGTCGAGAGGAATGGCAAGATTAGCGGATTCACTTGCAGGTTGAAGGTGAATCCGTGGTAATGATTTCTATTGGGTTCACTTGGTTGACTTTAGATACAATTTGACAGCTCTGACCTTTAAAGATTAAAAGAGCTGGAGTATCAAAAAACGTATTATAATATGTGTGAAGATGTGGTCATGGTAGGAATAACTCATTTGAAATGACCTTTGTGACCTTTCCATAACCTCAGCTGACTTGAGGAGTTTCCTGTAAGAGGAGTAACAGTAATTAGGGGATTTTCAGATTTGTCTAAATATTATTCAATGCCTTTTAAGTGTCCCCCTTTTTCCCCTTATATTATCATTTTGTGTGACCTAATTGCGCTAGTACTTTTGGCTGTTTTGAAGCTGAGTTTATTTATGAGATAACTTCCTGCGTACAAGGTCATGAAAGTAAATTCCTGCACAAGTGCTCGGAACTTTTTACATTCATTTGACAACAATTATAACTTTAATGTCCCGACCATCTATCTGGATGACATCTTTATGTTGGCTCACATTACTGCCGTATCATTTCACTGCTTACTTATATTTATATGGACAACACAGAACACAACGCATACTGATACACGTCTATTGCGTCAAGGGCAACCACGGTTACAAACGAGATGCAGAATAAATGTGTGTTCAACCAATCTACTCTCAAACATGAAGTTAACTAACCTTTATTATTATTATTATTATTATTATTAGGAACTAATGTCCTATTCCTTGCCTTTTCTCAAAACCACAGAAGCAGAAGTCTCATTGGTTCGTTAAAATTGTCAAATTAAAATTATTTAGTCTATCTATTTAAAAGGGCGATAAAAGGTCCTCCAGACTCGGCGGACGTATTGGACCGCTCACTCTTTGCTGTGCAGCCGACCATGCTGGTTCTCACAAGACTAAACTCCTCTCACCGCTCCAAAGTTGATAGGAAATCTCACCCTTCCACCCATAAATTAACTCAACGGCAAAAGATAGATTAAAGTGTTGAATCTTAGAATCCCCACGCAGATATTAAATCAAATAACCCCTCCTCCTCCCTCCTCCTCCCTCCCCCTCCCTCCCCCTCCCTCCCCAACCCCTCCAGCACTTTGAACGAAAATTAGTGTTTTCCTATTGTGCCGTCCGAGATTAATTTTAGTGATATTTGCTCAACAATTGCGGCACTGCATATATTCTCCATGTCCATAGCTGGTATATGAGGAATATGAACCATGTACCAGAATTATATTTGTGTGTATTTGTGCTGAATTTAGATGAGTGTGTGTTATCTGGGAAATACTGTAATGGAATCAAATATTAGACCATTCGCAACATAATTACAAATTAGGGAGTTTTACAGTCGCAAATAAGAGATGACATTTAATGAAATAGACTTTAACTTGTTCTCTTCAACATTTCCAATAATTAGAATGTCAATATCAGTTATCAGACCTGCAGCGGCCAAAATAAGCTGTTTTCCAAGAGCACAGAGTGAGCACTGGTGAATAGGTTTTCACTAACAGCAGGTGAGCTTCCTCTCACAGTTGAATCATCGTGCTTGAAGGTTCTGCTCTGTCTTGATACATTAATCTGCCGGTAAAGATGCAGTCTATCGGTGGATGTGCTGTGAAAGTAATATGTCGGGTCGGTGCTCCATCCTTATTTACAGCCTTTAGAGGTGTTGGAAAGTAGACATTCATAATTATTTTGTCAAATATACAGATATATGGAAATATTTGGTTATTAAGATGTATATACTATACTATGCTCATTTGCATTCACAGTCCGTGCTCAGTATATTTTATATCATGCTTAATCTCGGGTAATCCACCAACTACAGAGTTGTTTTATAATGATCAGTTTGTTCCTGATTTTAAGTACATGTTTGCTGGTGAGTCATTGAGCATCCATCTCTGCCTTGGAAGAGCTCCAAAATGTCAAAGATAGATTTTGTGAATAAAGATTTTATAATAATAATTATCATGATGATAATGATATTAATAATATCAACAATGCAAATGTCTTCATTTAAACACCACTTGTCCCAAAAAAGCTGAGCTCCTTCTAATAAGAACAAATCACAACAAAAAAACAACAATACATAAATATATATACATTCTTGTTGGAACAAGTTGTTTTTAAGATTAGATTAGTGAAGGGAAACGTTGACATTTGGTTGACATTTTGTTTCAAAGAAATGTAGATAAAAGCCCTTAAACTTCCAATAACCCTTGTAATGTGTCACTCGTCTCTCCACATGAGTGCAACCGCTACAGGCAGAGTAACACCCAAAGTACTCCATGGTTGGTCATTTAAATTGTGCATTTTCCCTTCTCTTATGTACTGCACTTATCACTGGAGGTCCCAGAAAGTGTAATCTAATGAAAACATGCCGTCAAATGTTTCAATGATGTCGGAGGGAAATGGCCCATCTCTCCTCTATCCCTGGATAATTGAACCTGAGGCACACTGTGTGTTTATATATATATATATATATATATATATATAATACAAACAGACAGCATAATACAAACAGCAACGTGTCAGCTGAGAACCTGTGTCAATTCATGCTCAAACCTCAAAGTTGCCAGTGCATGAAAATCCTTTGGTCATAAATGGATGCAAAATCGGTCGTTTTTCATCTCAGCAGCAGTAATTGGGACACAGCGAGTGACGATAACACAGTTAACACAGTCAGATGCAGTAAAAGTGGGATGAGTCACTGACAAGGAATCTCTAACCATGTTATTGTTTTTGTTTTATACCTTTTATTGTTTTTAACTAAGTGGAGATTTCATTGAACTGAGTGTAAATTAGAGTGTTAAATGTTTGTTAAACTATTTTAGTGTTTACTTAGTGATTGATTAACTGCCGTCGGGGCACAAAGCTCTGAGCGATTAGAGATGCACTGATCATGTGGTTGTTAGAAACCTGGCAGCTTTCATCTGATCGGCTGATGATGATTGCCGACCGTACATCCGCATTCTTATTACTTAATTAGGTAACTTGTTTCACTTCCTAACACTCACTCTGAACAGCTAATACTACATATTAAAACGTCTAACGCCAATAATAATTTAATCGAAGCAAGTATTCAAATACAAATACATATCCAAGTCAAGCTTTTAACTATTAAAAGCCTAAGGTTTCAGACTTCATGAGCTGGAGCTGTTATTGCTTAAACAAAAAATGTCAGCTATAGAGCCACGTAGCAGATCAATGCATCTAATTACATTCTATTTAAGACACAAACGTGAAACTTGAAAGCAGATAAAAGAACGTTTGGATCACCGCAGCCTCGTCTTTAACACTGAAAGTATGTGAAAGCTTCTACAGCCACACAAGGTTCTTTATGTCTCCTTAATTGGACTCTGCTCAGATCTGGTGGGTGAAGCTAAACTTTCAGAGACTGATAACGTTGTACATTTTCCAAAAGTAAGACTTAAAAACAAAGCATGAAAAGGAACAGGGCACCATTTCTCTGAACAATGAAACTAAATGTTTTTCATTAAACGTCATTTTAAAAATACTGTTAGAATGAAAATGTTTAAAAGGCAGAGCCTTTTAGATGTCACATTAGTTATGACTTTAATCAGCTATTTCTAAGACCCCAGTGAGCCAGCATGCACAACGCCAGAACTTTATAAGTGACACACGTCATTTCACTTGTTCATGTCAATTATGTCTTGTTATTATGTCAAAAACTTTAATTTGAATTTAAAACAAACCTGTTTCGCCTGTGCATTTTGTCGGTTGCGTTAAATGCTTATTTCTCTGTCGTTCCCTGACACACAATGTTTGTGGCCCGAGTGTTTAGTCCGGTGTGGCACAAGTCTGACCCTGCCGGCCTCCTTTTGGGCCGAATCAGCACGTTGAATTGGCCGTGAGAGGAATCACTCTGATTTGCTGAGCTGCTTAAAGGTGCCACATCTTAAATTCAGAGCACACATATTGCCTCCACACAGCTCACAACATTGTGATTTGTGGCAGTACTGACTGTTGTTGCGACGCTGTGGGTCAGGAAGCCGTTATCGGCTGTAACAACCGCGTGAGGACGATTCAGAGCGGCGGACATCTGTAGCGAGTGGAGTCCGCTCCATCACATGCACTAAAAGCCACAAAAGGCCAGTTTTTCACAGCGCTGCCAGGAAGAAAAGTTTTTTCTTTAAAGTTCCTTTGGATATGCATAAACACGGTGAGAAGAGAAAAGCACACCCACTGGGAGCACCGGTTAAAAAGATAGAAGGGCTGTTTTCCCTATTCATGGTCTAATTAGATAGACATCATGCCAATTTTGTGCAAATCTTATGGGGACACAAAGGAGAGCTGAGTGACTGCAAAAGGAACATTACTCCAATTACACAGAGACGCTACTCTTTAAGGCGGGTCCCTCATGTGAGAGAATACAAGCTTTTTTAACGCTAATTAGATGCCCGCATCTCACCATTCTGCCTTTGTCTCCCTATTCCAGGGATACACTACCGCAAGTCCTGTGCTTCGTCGGGCGCCTGCCTCATCGCCTCGTCTGGTTACCAGCAGTTCTGCACCGGCAATCTCAACTCCGTATGCATCACCTGCTGCAACACGCCGCTGTGTAACGGACCGCGGCAGAAGAAACGGCCCCAACCATCGGCGGCCGTTGCCCTGACCGCGCCGCGGCTTTCTCTTTACGTTTTCATCCTACTGTCCTCCACGCTGTGCTGACAGACCTTCACACTCTGAGTTAACGTGTCTTTTGACAGTGGGGACAACAGCGACTGGAACTAATTGAGACAGTGAGGAATATATACCGTGAAATGTATGTTCTTTGAGGTGGGGAAGGTTTGCACAGTGCTGGTTCTCCGGACTCCCATTCTGTCACTGTTCACCTCCAAAAGTCATCTTATGAACCCTTTTTTCGTTGTCATCACATGGGTCATGTCACACACATCGTCGCGGTGCGGCTGCAGGGGCACATGGGCAAGGTGAGGGGGAGGACATGGCAACAGCTTCTGGCTATTTTATTGGGAAGCAGGTGGCTCATTCGCCTGTCTTTGTTTACTTCCACTTCACGGTCAAATAAGACCAAAAAAAATAGTTCCCATTCATTTTTTTCATTTTTCCGAGCCTGAGGAAAAGCATTGCAGAATTTAAAACGCTGTAATTTAATCGAGATCAATACTCTAACGCGGGACAATCGCAGATTTTGTTGTATTGACGAAATGAAAAAGTATTTGATGGTTTGATGCAGTCAGAAAAAAAAGGCAAGGACAAAGAAAATCCAGCATGCTAATGTTACCTACAGCCCCAAAGCGGCTCACAGGCACAACGTCATCTGATCACTGAGGGCCATGAAAAAGTTTTCTCCACTTTTCTCCATTCTGTAACAACCCTGCCTGCTGACAAATACATTGTGCATAGAGCTGCAAGAGCATGTTGAAATACATAACCATAATAATAATAATAATATAACGAGTAGAACTGTTTGCATTCAGGTTGAGCAGCATCCGTACAGTGAGGTCGTGCTACGATAAGGGGCATCGAGGATGGCTGCTGATGGACTTTCAAGAAAGGGTTCTGAGATTACAAGAAAAGTTATGCTAGATGCTACAATGAGGGAATATGTGATGTGCTCAACGTGCAAGTCGTTGGTTTTGTCCATCAGAATGGGATTTTGCGATGCTTTTGCGATGCTTTTGCGATGCTTGGGTTGTTGGTTTCGAGGGGCCCTGAACCGAGAAGGTTCCCTGTGGATGTGTACTGGAGTACTAACCAACATGAATCAAGAATGCATTTTAACACAGAATTTTGACATCTGCATGGCCACCAGCTTGCGGTCCTCTTGTGCCTCATCTTTCCTGATGCATCGGCCTTATCTGTAAATGTTGAGGAGGATATTCCATTTTTTGCATAAATTACTATTTTTATTGCCATTACGCAATGTCTTATTTTATCCTAAATAGATGAACCAGCCATCTTAACATCATTAACAACCATAATGTTTGATGAATCACAACTTCGCTGTTTGCATGTGTTATTGAAACACTTTGTTTTTAAGTGATCTGATCAACAATCTCTTATTTACATTTTCTGTTCTTGTTGTAATGCTTTTACCTGTTAACAAGGAGGCTAAACTACAGTACGTCAAGGTTACTTCATGTGGCTCAACGGTGTATTTTCAGAATACATTTTAAGTATATGTTGACAGAAAGAATTTCAAAAATTAATTTAGAGACCCTGATAAAATCTCCTGCGCAGCTAGAAGACATCCAATTTTAAAACAGGAGATTGCCGTTCTTTTCCAATATTCTACCATGAAGCATGTGTTTCTCTTATCCACGGGCTCCATCGATTCCTAACGTTAGCCACTAACCTTAGTGAAGTAGTTTTTTTAACAACAAACAAAAAAAATGTCATTTTATTTCCTGCTAGCTCTACAAAACGGATTACTTGTTTACTGCATTTTCTGACTTCTTGAAAGATGATGAAGGCATCTGAATACTGAAATGGGTAATAATGAGTGCTAATAATGAATGGTGGTGAATTTAAGTACTTTTGGCCGGTGCTTGTCGACTGAGCTGCTACACTGCAGCTGCCGCCGGCGCACAGCTCCCACAGTAAAGTACAATGTGTCGCTCCTGCTTACTTGTGAGTGTGTTTGTGTTACAGCGGGCCGTGAGATGTGAGATGTGAGTATCTGAAAGGAGCAGCACTACTGTTCAAAAACTCGGCTGGGTACTTTTAACTTTAACTTAAGCTGTGGGGTTCTTCGTGCTAACTGAATATTTCAACTTTAGTATAATAATTTTCTCACATGATAACAATTTCTTGCTGTTTCCCATCAAGCTTGCTATTGTGCAAAATTGTTCACTCTGTATTAGGGATTTATTTTTATTTGTTCATGATGGCACAGCACAAGCAGGTGTAATTTTACCGTTCATTCTGTTGCATTAAATTCTACAGCACACTATATTTCAGTCTCTGATGGTACATTTCTCCTTGTTGTGGGAATGTTATCGTACTCTTCAGTCAGGCTGAGGGAGGTTTGCGTATTTGAAGCCACTCCTGAGTCACTTTGGCTGTGGAAGGTTGTAAGAGCGGGTGGGGTTTTGTCCTGCGGGAGGCTGGGACGGTTCGCCCCCCCGCTGCGCCGCATCGACTTCATCAGCAGGGGCCGTAGGGAGCGGGCGGACCCCGCCTTGGCGCTCCGCACTGTGCGCTTGTTGATGTGTTCGATGGTGAGGCGGCAGCGCAGCACCTGGACGAAAACCTCCCTGAACTGTCTGGAGGAGAGGTTGTAGAGGAACGGGTTGAGCACGGAGCTGAGGTAGAAGAAGGAGTCGGCCACAGGGTGGAGGGTGACGTAGCTCCGGAAGTAGGAAATGGTCCAGCTGGACTTTGGCACGGCGGCCATCATCAGGCGACGGATCTGGGTGGGAAGCCAGCACACCATCAAGGATGCCACGATGAGGCCTGAGGGAAGAAGTCAGAAACACAAATGATGGAGAGAGACGAGTAACCGAACAACGATATCTTCCAAAATGTCAAACTATTGCTAAAAGAAGATTATGAGCCAAGGCTTTGCTCCAGCTGTCTGCCGAAAAACATACTGACCAATCAGATGTGAGTTTGCACCTGGAGCTCATTTAGCATCGATATATATCTGAAACTGGCAACAGCATCACTCATTCCGGACTAATTTGGTTTTGCTTCAAATCCTTTCTTAGTTCTAACTAAACCGCCGGTGCTCCAAAATGTGATTAACAGTTTCTCTGGTTACACACACACACACACACACACTGTTGAGTACTATGTTTGCCTGATTCACAAAGTGAAACCCAGCGCGTTAACCTCCAGGATACAGGACGACCTTTGAGGCTCAAGTCTGTTATCTATCACGTGTGAGTCTGTATCATCAGTCTTTAATCAGAATGTATTCATTTCCCCTGCAGTCTTCTTAATGGGGATTACACTATGACCAAACGGCTTTCTATCAGTTCTTTAAATGATCGGCTCGAGGCATTACTTCATTACTTTTTTTCTAAGACGTCAACAGGAATTGTTTTTTTTATTTTTAAACCTTTTTTCTATTCCAGTCATTAACATATTATAAAACAGCGAACCATAATGTGAGACGCTTTTTGTACATCTGAACCACCTTTAAATCAACACACAACGCTGTTGCTCTTCACAGCTGCCAGCTTCTCTTTAGGCTCTTTAAACTAATCGCTTTGAAATTGTTTTCACAAAAATCCTTTGGTTAAGGTTGCCGCACAATTATTGTTAACCACAAAAAAACATTTGTTTTACCGCGCTTTATTTCTACAAGCAGATATTGTAGATCACAGTTTAAGCACTCATTCCCCACAGATCAGTAACGTCCCCCCAATGAGGAATGTATGCAGTTTAAGACTTGAGTGTGTAGGTGTGTGCGTGTGTTTGTGTGTGCGTCTGTGTGTTCACTCTTGGGTTTGTGTGAAGCATTAATATGCTGTTGATAAATCTTTACTATTATTGTTATAATTCAACTCTGACAAACTGACAAAGTGAAGACACCCGCCTCAAAATCTCGTCTAAGCTCACAGTCTCACACACACAACACACACACACACACACAGTGACGGCTTCCTCCCCAAGGGGAAGAATATAACGATCTGCTAATTAGAAAGCAATTAAACCAGATTATTGGAACAATTAATTGTTTGTCCTTGCTGTAATTGGAGTGTGTGATTGAGCTTCTGAGTTCTACGTCAGGGGAGAACAGGGAGAGCCATTGTTTCAAGTAACCACGTGTTTTACATTGTTAGTAAATGTGCTCAGAACAGACGGTTTCTATGAAGACATCATCCTCACGCACACATAAAAAGTTTGAGATAAAAGTGAATCCTTTCAAATAAAGGATAAAAGATGAAGTCATGCAGCTTCAGCAATTGTTCATCAAAAACGTGCGGTTGAAATAAGCTTGTTATGAGTGTACCCTTTAACAATCTTTGTATTGTTCCACACAGTCACAGTTCAGAGTCATTTCGTTCATTACTGTTAATAACACATCAATGGTGTCCTCATTTGTGCAGATTATTTTGTACTTTAAACCTTTAAAAAAAGTATTAAGTAATGGTGCAACATGAAGGCAATTAAAAGGAATAGATTTCTCTGAGAGCTGATGAGGCGATCAGCTACCGTTCCCAATTCAATGCGTCATCTCCAAAACACATAAATCTGCTCAACTAAAGAGTTCAGGTTCAAATCTGATTATGGCGCTATAATCCAATAACATTAAATACTCAATAGCACAATCTGAATTTGATCACTTTGAAATTTCGCAGCTGTTGCTACAGCAACACCTTCGCTTCTCTCTGTTGGATCCAGCCACGCGCCTGAAACACCACCTGCATCTTCATCAGTGTTTTTGTGAAAGCAAAATGTCTTTCGTAACCCAGGGAGAAACTTTTAAAACATCAGCACGTCATTGGTGCTGCTCCATGATCGGAAATGGCTCTGCAGATTTATATCGAATAGTCAAGAAAAGAGAAACATTTCCTCCAGTATTTATGCAAAACGCCTGAGTGACGACTGAATGTGTCGGTGGCCGAGACGTCTTGATTGCATATTGATTTTAACATTTGACAAATCTTTAACATTACCAAAGTGAAATGTCTTAATGAAGCAGAAGAAGAGGATGTGATGAGAGGAAAGTTGCTCCATTGTTTGTTGTGTGATAATGCAGCTGATTTTGCCCTCAGAAGATGTTAATTGCAGTCTACGTCAGGAAGCCCACAATATTTACTGTCGTAAGATTTAAGGAAAAAGAGGTTATGTTCGATGCAATATATAAAGTGTATAAAATGACTAGCAGAGACAAAGTTAGGTAGCTAAGCTTCATAAAAGTTCACAGCCCGGGACATTGGGAAACGTTGCATGAGGTAGATGTGCAGTAGCCTAGATGATACATTAAATGGGAACACAAAGTAGTTGAAGGATAAAATGAATCAGTGAGGGATATAAAAATCAAAGTCAGGTTTAAATGTATTGGTCTGAAAAAAAAGATGCCTTGTTGTTTTGTTTTCACCAAAGTATATTCAACAACAGTATTATATATTGACGCGTCCAGTAGTACATTTGGTTTATCCAATCACCTTTAAACAACGTCTTGTCAGTTTCAGGGCTGATACATAATTAATAATACGGAATAAACAACTGTGTTTGTCAGTTAATATCAGAGTGACTCAATGTACTCCAACGTGAAAGGAATACAATAATACAAAGTCCGTTCTGGTGAGGGAAAGGGGACAAAAAGAGTAACTACATGTTATGCAGAAAACTGAGATGATATTCAGCGGCCGATTTATTGATCTGGTTAGTTTCTTTCCTCAGATATTGGATGAAGTTGTGCCGAAAGACTATAATAATAAGGGACTTGTGATGAAGACATACATCGTGTGAGCTTGTGACAACGAGTCCGTTCAACCATTCAGAAGAGAGTTGACGGAGCATATCAACAGCATTTCAATAGGTTTTGTAGTTGCCACATGTCCGGGTTCAACTTGCAGGCAAAATCAAACAGTGCCAATTGGACCAACCACGAAAGAACAATTTATTTCAAATTTCTGATAATTCTTCTCCATTTTACAGTATAATTTGTGTTATCCTTAATGGCAAAAACAGATTAAATGAAAGCATGAAGACTGATTACAAAAAAAGCTCATTTAAGGTTTCTTGCTGCTATTAACAGCTCCATGAGATTAATTACATCGTATTCACAAAAGCTTCTTAAACTGGAAAAAAATAATGGAAAACAGAACAAATTAATTTAAGCATAAAAGAAAATCCTCTGTCATCGAAGCACTTATGTAATTATTTATAACTTGAGCAAATTACAGGGGAATATTATTCACAATAATTCGAATTATTTTGAAGGAGATTTTTTCATGGAGACGGTTGTGCTCTGATTTGTTATTTTGGAGAGGGTGCCATCGAATAAGCTACGATGTTCTTGAATATAATTCTGTTGCGGATCGTTTTCTTCACATTCACTGGCAACAGTTGAACAGGTTTTTTGTTGTCAATACTTGTGTGTTTCTTTGATGCTTTAAAGGGTTTCGATCAAATCAGTCAACCAAAGTCAATATCCATCAATTTAAATTGGTTTTCCTTTCATTTTCCTTATTGGGATTAAGGATGGTGGGATTTATGGTCAGGCAATGTTCTTTGCGCAGCCCTTAGGTGTCAGGTCAAATATAAGACAAGAGTACTTATTAACAACGTTGTAAATTGATAAAACAGCAATGATATCACTGTTGTACTTTGTAATAGAGTTTATGTGAAGGTCTATTGGTTCACTATAGCTCATCCTAGGTGTGCCGTTCCGTAAACGCCTGCAGTCACTTCTAACCACGCCATGAAGGTCTTGTGTGTGCCTGGATTATATGGTGCTGCCACTCATAAATTCTTAAAGTTCCCCACACCGTTTAGTAGACGCCCCAATAAATTGAGTTGCATCTTGGATAATATAATGATAATGAAACTCTTGTTTCTTTGCACACTTTTACCCCTTGAGATTTATTACACCGTTGGCAACAATGTAAAAAAAACACAGATAACATTAAGTCTCTTAAGAGTCAGAATAATACAGAAAGAAATATAATAGAAATATAGATATAATTGGAAATCGAAACATTTTGAAAAGTCTTAAAACCAAGGCCACTCTATCTTGGTAATGGAGGCATGTTTGTTATTTAATACTCCAATACTCTCTTTCCATTTCACATTTAGCTCCTTGGATGCTAGATGTCGGACCGTATATGTTCAAAAGGATATGATATTGGTCAACTTTGTAAAAGATTCAAAGTTGTCAATGACTCATTGTCCCAACCTCTATATTCATCTCCTTCTCTTTTTGTGGCATTCCAGATTATATACTCGACCAAGCACTAAAAAATGAATTTTCCTTGATAAATCTCCCAATAACTCTGTCTTTAGTCAACTTCTTAATGTTTTAAAACAACAGTGTAAAGTAACTGGCCCTAAAAATACTTACCCAGTAAAAATACTGCATACAGTATACAAAAATACTACAGTGAAAATATTTGATATTGTGCCAAAACACGGCTGCGTCTGAAGCTACATGTGGGGTCAGAGGTCAAGACGTCAGCATGCTCACAGCTAATCCATGTATTCTACTAATGAGGACACTGAATCACTTTAACATGTTGAGAAATTCAAATTTGACAAACCTGGTTGCTAAGCAATGAATCGAGTCAAACAAACAAAGAGAAAATGAATCATTCATAATCATTAAAAGTCGACTGGTAAATTCATCTGTGCGGTCCTGGTCAATCAAATACATTTTTCAATGTGCTAATGCAATGCAAACACAAAAAGATTTGCTAAAAGGATTTGACATCTCAAACTGCTTTGCAGGTGCACTGCCAATCACAACAGCTGAAGGCTAATTGCAGCAGGTCGTCTCTTTT